CCAGAGCATGTCGCTGTGTAAATGGGTGGTCGTAAGTGAGTGAAACAACTTTGTTGTCGATCCGTCATAAAGGGGGAAAAAGTAGGGAAATTAACGCAAGACTCTACTGTGCTTGGACATCCCGGAGCGGCAACATACTCACTTCCTACTCGGGGGGGGGGGGGGGGCACCGCTTTCAAAAATGGGTTTGGCCGAGTCACAGCTATCTGCACCGATCTGCAGCGATTCATAGCTTTAAAGCATAATAAATTAGACAGTTTATGCAGAGCACTCAAATAGGTCTTTAAATGACCCTTAGGTCTTGGTCTACCGGCCCAATGTATTTGTACAAAATTTACAAAACCGTTTTACGGTTCCTTCAATAAGACAACTATGAAAGACCACTCCGCCAGCACTGAATCTACCTAGCCAAAAGGAACACTTTATTATTGCTATCTCATAAGAATGCGCTGAGGAATCCTCTCCAACTTTACTGTAATTTTGCTTCGAATTATTATAAAAATATTCCAGACATATTCGATGTGATTCATACTCGCACTTCAATATTTGAATTCACTTCACACCTAAAATTGCACAGCTTAAAAAAAAAAAGCTTCGTATTCCTACCATGTAGTTTTTGTACATCCACTATAGAGACTGCCATATTCCATGTCAACCAAGCTTAACTAATACCTCCAATTTTGAGAAAGGGGGAGCTAATCTGGAAAAGCTCAATTGCAAGTCAAACAATATAATATGGACTAGTTCTATGCATATTTTATTCTTCTTTACGAAGAACAAGCTCTGTGGACTCAAACTAAGAAAAGTCAACTGAAGAGTGATTTTTTTTTAATGTGCTTGGGGGTATGCACAAGAAGGATGACTTCACAAGTCATCTCTTTTCTTGTTTTAAGAATCACTACATAAAAATAATTAAAAGCAAGTGCCTGAAGGAAATATGCTCCATCACTACCACAGTGGCACCATAAGCTATTGTTTTTTTGTTTGTCGTGCTCCTTGTTCTTAAATGCGAAGCATTTCTTAGCGAACTTCGGCTACTTTGAGCGTATCTATCTAGCTACCTACGACATTTAGCTTTCCTGGTCGTTTCAATAATGGTATCTATACCAAACTTGATATGGCATAACATGACTGTATGAGGAACATATTTGACAAGTCGTAACATGAAAAATGACATGTATGTCATGAATGTCATGATTTACATTTCATGATCCTGCAGCTCTTGCGGCAATTTCGTTCACATGGCACGTTGCAAAACTGGTATGGTATGACATGATTGCATGCCGCACGCAAGCGATCGACCCTAACATGAAAAACATGAGCCGCACGCAAGCGATCGACCCTAACATGAAAAACATGACATGCGTGTCATGTAACAACATGACTACATGATGCGCTCGCGGCCGTTTCATTAGCATCACATATGCCGAATTTGGTATTACGGGACGTGAATGGATGACGAAGGTATGATACTGGTGTAAACATGATAATCATGAGATGCGTGTCATGTAACATCATGATTACATGCTAAGCTCATGATGCACTCACAGCCGTTTCACTAGCTTCATTTATACCAAACTTGGTATTACAGGACGTGAATATATGACGAAGGTATGATACTGGTGCAAACATGGTAACCATGAGATGCGTGTCATGTAACGACATGACCACATGCTACGCTCATGATGTGCTCGCGGCCGTTTCGCTAGCTTCACATGTACCAAATTTTGTATTACGGTACGGGAATCGATGACGAAGGTATGTGACTGGTGCAAACATAATAATCATGAGATGCGTGTCATGTAACAACGTGACTACATGCCACGCTCATGGTGCGCTGGCGGCTGTTTCGCTAGCTTCATTCATACCAAATTTGGTATTACGGGACAAGAATGGGTGACGAAGGTATGATATTGGTGCAAACATGATAAACATCAGATGCGTGGCATGTGCAACATGACTACATGCCACAGACAAGGCGGCAATACATTTCAATGTGATGCGGTGTGCGTGCTCGCTGGCGTTCATTTCGTCGCATCACGCCTGCGTTGCCATGCCAGGCGCCGGTCCTGCCATATACCCGCAGCACACGCCTCACTGCGTTGCTTTGACGCATGCGCGTTTCAGCGCGTCCGGCGTCCCTCCGTCGAGAAAAGAGGGAGACTCAGTGTTGTCTGGGTAACGCATCGGCGCGAAATGCAGCATGTTGCATTTCGCACCGGTTACTGCGGACGCTGGTTGCACCTGGCGTATGACTATAGAGTGCTCGCGTTTTGCTAACGTAGCGTCTCTGTACCCAGCTTGCGCGCGCATCAACACTACATTGGAGTATATTGGGCCCTTCATGATGCGCTCACGGCCATTTTGCTAGATACACATATACCAAATTTAGTGTTACGTGACGTTAATGGATCACAAAATATATGACTGGTACAAACATTATAATCCTGACACGCGTGTCCTGTAAGAACATGTCAACATACCACGCGAATATCGTGCTCGCGGCCCTTTTGCTAGCTCTGAGTGTGCTAAATTTGTTATCATGTGCCGTTAATAGACAACGAAGGTAAACGACACATCCAAATATAATAATATTAACACAGAAATTATGTACGGCATCATTTACTTCCACCTCGTAACGTTGTGCTAATTTTAAAGTGACATATCAAAATTTCTCATTTGTGCTTCGCATATCGATTCCCACTGTACGTGGGATTTGTGAATTTTTCTTTTATTAATCTCATGCATGATTTCCACTGTTGTGGTAAAAGTCAAGTTATGGCATCCCAATATGTTTTCTAGGCATATTAAAAGTGGCAATTTCCTTTTTAGCTGCTCTAATGCAAAAAGATTCCTCTGTTGTCATAATGCTTTTCAAGGAGCACTTCGACACACAAAAGTTAAAGCCAAAACTAGACTTCAGAATGCCAAGTGGCAGGAACACTTGACAAAATTTGTGCGCACTTTGTTCCGCTTACGTCTTTGCATTTTCTGTGGTGGTGTGCAAGTCATTGTTTATTCATTGAATTTTCAAAACGCCTATACGCCAATATGCAAAATGCTACATTTAACCTGTATACGATGGCTTGTAAATAATCTTTGAATGATTGGTGTGCGCTCTTCACACAATCTCAGCTGAAAAGGCAGCTCTATCAGTAATTGAACAAGCAGTACAAAATACAAGGACGCAAGAGTGAACAAGAAGTATTCTATGTTATAGTGAATTTGTGATGGCTTGAATGCATAGTAAGAAATGACAGCTCTATCACACAAAGATCACACAAAAAAAGAAGGCTGTTTTATTTTGTGCCCTGACAAGTGGCATAAAAGTGAGCGAAGTTACACTAAAGTGTAACTTCGCTCACTTTCGCTCACTCACCATACTTCGCTCACTCGCTTCGCCAACTTCGCTCACTCACGATACACAATTTCAGGTGTGATATGCGAATTGCAAATTCACAATTCTTTATCTCGGGGTGGGGGTGGGGGTAGTTTGTCGCATGACTGTTTCAAAAGCTATATGCCCCGTCACAACATCAGTATCTTTACATTGCACAGCCATCACTACACACTCATTTCTTGTCCTTGCACACTGTGGTACTTGGACCAATCATGCATGCTATTTTACATGCTAGTTTTAGACCTGTACTTCTTTTGCCCAGTGGTAACCGCCACAAGGTGAAGCAGAAGAGGAGGTATTCAAGTTGTTAACATAGCTGTCTTATTAGTTCAACAAAACTGTGAAAAAAAGTGCTAACAATGTACCCCTATATCAGGGCAGGCACAATCTTCGAGTAGTATATTTATAGTTCATTTAAATTTTCATCTTATTGTTTATATAGTGAGCGTATATCTTTGCTCCAGCCAAGTGACTGGTGTCGTTGTTAAAGTGAGCTAATTGATCTGAAAAAAAAAAAAGAAGCATTTGGTTGAAAGTTGGAGCAACATCTTGTCCTGCATGTCCTTGCTTTGTTGTCAAAGTACTCTTGCAGGCAATACACATTAGCTTTCCATAGACAATTTCTCCCTGCCGATTTGTTCAGTTAAAACTAGATGGCACCACTGCACCATGGCCTTCCCCATGTCGTGGCCTTTGGCTACTGTGGCTAGTGCACTTTAGCAGCTCTGCTCAGTATGTCTCTATCTATGGTGCGTTACGTTATCCGCATTCCCATAGCACATGCATTGGGCGCACATGCATTGAGAAAGTTAAAGAAAGCAGGCGGCAGCTTTTCAACACGGTGGCACCCATGGACATGATTTCCTTCACACGAAACAGCGCATGATGCCTTAAGTTCATCATGCGCTGTTTCACCCTAAGTTGAGAACCTATGTTTTTGTTTTGCTTAATATTTGCATCCTGGAGCTTCGAGAGCAATGTATCTGTCGGTATTTTGCAGTGTTTTCAAGATTCAATCTCAAGTTCTTGGAGACAAGGCCTAGCAGGCGCGGCTAAATAAACACAGCTGATCTCAATAATAAAGGCAGAACATACCTGATGCTTTGCCTCCAGCGTGAGGTGACACAAAGTGATAGCCAATTCGGCCACTTATTTATTACTGCCAGGACAGCGGGCAAATAGCAAGTCCGAGTTCGTATTGAAGTGGGCGGTCGCGTATGCATGTGGGCCCCCATGTTAGCTCGAAACCCCAGCTGTTGGTGGTTGCTTATATAATTATAAGCATACATCGTAAATGCAAAATAGAATAAACATCACATATTGTTGTGGCATAGTACTATGCACCATACATAACTGTTCCCACATTGCTATCAACACTTAGGGAATTATATGTAGAGTTGTTTCGCTGCGCAAGCATGTGACTTTCTTACAAACTGCTGCAACCAGCTTGTGTGGTACGATTCCTGCCGCTTCACCTGCCCTATGCGCCAGCTATGATCACGTGATAAAACATGGCCGTGCCTGCGCGCTGCTGCGGAAATCGCAGAAGAAAACAAGATGTTCGCTTCCCAAGTTCTCGAAGACAGATTGTGCCAAACAAAAGATTACACAAGGCCTTTTATTAAAGTAACAAGAGATGACTTGAGTGACTCGGACATGGTACAAAGCATACTGAGCTAGCTGTTAGTAAAACAACAGCATCTTTTCAATACTACACAGAAAAAAAAAAGTTATTCTGTCAAGCGCTGCGTGCATAGCTTATGTTAAAAAATTGCAACCTTGTTCTTGCATCCTAAGAAACAAAATTCTAAGGTTCTTGTCACAGGAAAAAAAAAAACACAAGTAGTTCTTGCCAGGTGCAAACACTGTAAGCTTGGAAGAAGTGAAAGCGTGGAACCATGCAAGCATAAATTCACAGAAGTCCTGAAGCGTCTCATTCAGCTGTCGACAAGCTTTCAAGTGGCACTTTTGCTAACTTTTTTTCTCATTAACACTTTACGATTCGGTAACCATAACTTGCTTAAATAACCTGCAACGCTCACTGCTTTATATATAATATATATATTTATATATAGCACTGTAAGTCTCTACCTAAAGAACTGCTCTTTCAACCCTGACAAGTTAAAACAATGTTTACCGATGTTGACATAACAGTTCACACAACTCTATAAGAAAAACAAAATGTTATGTACAAAAGCCGAAGCAGTAACATTGCTGACTCCTTTTTCTCAATTTTCTCATTGTGATAAGATCAAACTGAACAGTAGACTAACCAGCAATTACACTGCATATTTGGGGTTTCCATGGCATTCCAGTTCTATGGAGCAGCCAGCAAGGAATAATGGATTCATCAGGCACCCACTCTCGAAGAGCGTCTCTCGAAGAGTGCTTCCCGTTGGGGTAGCAGTTATAGTGAACATTAGCGAAAGAAAATTTCAAAGCAATGCTTGCCCAGGGTTTCATAACTTGTTTTAAATCATTACAACGTCGAGCACTCTCGGGAAGAAAACCAGAGATGATGGGAAATAAAATTGTTATGCTATTAAAACTTAAATTTCACACATTATTCGTCTTTATTGGAAAAGAATTGCTGATAAGTGAAGCAGTTGCGTTGTGGGGGTTATTCTATAGCCCTTCATTTCCAGTGTAGGGTACTGTGGGTACACGGACAATAACAATATATTTTCACCAAAGCCCATATTCACAAACCAACCTTGGCCTTACCTCACGTTTTCCTCAAGTTCCTGTACTCTCTACGTGCGTTATAAGAGCTCAGAAATGGTAACAGGGTAAAAGATAACAACGAAACTGGTTCATGCACACGGACCTACTTGGTTCTTCAAGCGCATAAAGGCTTAAAACTGATAACGAAAACTCGAGGTAAGGTTGAGGTTGGTTTGTGAATACAGGCCTAAGTGTAGGTGACTCCATACAGCCGTAGTGTAATGCAACAGTAACAGCAGTAGCAGTAACAGCCATTTACAATTTCGCATCTTGCGCACTCCCTTCTTATACGAACGTGCTGCCTATGTTTTCAAGAGCAACAACTATTGACCAAACATCACTTTCCCACACGGGCAACTGTTGTCAATGCTTCACGAGACCATGCAATGGACAGTGGACAGCACTTGTTTGGGCGTTCACACTGCACAATCGTACAACTTCCAATTGGAACGTGTCATTAGTCACAGGTAGCTGGTGCTAATCCGGATTCCAATGCCATGTTTCTGTATCTGCTCCTTTTGATGTCTATCTGTGTTTTGAAATAATATATACAAGATGGCCATTCAGCAAAACATAGCTAAATTAGCTGCCCACACCGGAAATTGGAATAATACCCATTGCACGTGCCAGCATTCAACCTGTCAAGCTTCGAGCCATTACATGCCCTGGTTACTTACCCAATAGAGAAAATAAGTTTAATTTGTTTCTAATGCAATTGAGTAAAGTAGGATTCCGTCACAGAATCGGGCAAAATTCTCATAGGCTTGTTTTGGTACTAAAAAGCAGGTTCACTATTGGCAGGACTCAATTTTGTGGGTTTTGGTTGGGTTTCCACTTCAAATAAGTGCTTTTAGACATTTTTCGAACACCCATTCATTAAAAGCTGATGAGCATTTTCTGTGGTCACGTAAAAAAGAAAATCGGCCTTTTAATACCAATATCTGCAACTTTTTCCTGTGACATAGAATGCAATGGTGCTGTCTGCATTTTTTGTTATGGTGCTGTCTGCATCTACTGTGTTTAATACTGTGTTTGCTGTTAAAAATGAGATTCTGCAGAGCTCCTACCTACTGAAGTAATCATTAATGGTGTTCCTTAATTGATGATTGATATGTGGGTTTTAATGTCCCAAAACCACCATATGATTATGAGAGACACCGCAGTGGAGGGCTCCGGAAATTTCGACCACCTGGGGTTCTTTAATGTGCACCCAAATCTGAGCACACAGGCCTACAGCATTTCCGCCTCAATCGAAAGTGCAGCCGCTGCAGGCGGGATTCGATCCCGCGACCTGCATGTCAGCAGCCGAGTAGCTTAGCCACTAGACCACCGCAGTGGGGCAAATCTTATTCTTTAAAAAGCCACACTCTCATTTAGTTATGCAAACCCTTGTGTGGCTGAATTCATGTTTCTAGAAACTGAACTTGCATTCTTGAGTTAAAAGGAAACTATTTTTAACTGTAGTTCATGACCACTTATAATGTTTATGTAGTTAAACATTGAATTGTTTCAACCTCACACAGTTAGACCTTGGCACATCTCACAAAAGGATTAATGCGGCGCACTAGACCATATCTGTAAATGTAATCAGTGGTTGGTAACTGAATAGATGGTGGCCCTTCTGTCACGCAAGCGGAAAGTAAGCTTACACGAAATCATACTTGACAGATGTGTGCAGCCCTGTCATCCTTTAATGCTGGAGCAAGTCTACGTTCACCTGCTTGTATCTACTTACCTCACCCTGCTTCCGTGTAGAGAACACTGTGAACTGAACTACCCGTCAAACATACTTGAAATATAAAACGCGAGTTTGTAGCTTGAGTGAACCAGTAAACAATATAGGTGGCTGGGTTCACCTGGAAAGCTTTTGAAGCAGCTGCATTACAGACAGTCTTGTCTGTAGCATACCGTGACCTAACCATTGCAACTAGGGCCGAAGGTTCGAGTGTTTTGGAATGCAGCAATTATTCTCTGAATAACAGTTTGCCAACACAAGGGAGTCAGTGTCCCATAGCAACACACAGAACCCACAGGTGCTGGATTAAAGGGTTCAAATATAACATGACGATTGTTATAGCGTAAGAACAGAACGACGACAAAGAGACAAGAAGGACACGAGCGCTTGTCTCTTTGTTGTCGTTCTGTTCTCGCGATATAACTATCGTCATGTCATAGCAACTAGCCCAAACTGCTACACTTCCAATATAACCTCTTCAGGCACGAAATGTGATGGACTGTCTGTTAATTAGTCAAATTTCACTAAACTTTATTCCAAGGCACTTGATGTTCAAGTGCAAGATAGACAAACTGGTATCAGTAGTAAATTTTCACATTTTTAATGACTCACCATAATTAGTGTGTAAGTAAACATTTACTCATGCTGAAGCCAGTCGCCTTCCAGTTTCCGATTAAAAACTTGGACCACATGCAGGCACTCAAAATCTTTTTTGCTGTATTGATTTACAGAAAATAATGATTATAATGTTGATCTAGCTGCTGGAGGATGGCACATTAAAGTTAAGTGAAGACATTCAATATGGAGGAAGTAAAATTAATCCGGAGACCGAAGTCTCTTGGCTTTTTTTTTGGCCTCTAGTCGATGAAACTGGCAAAAATAAGTTGCAGCCACCGACCACGATGTGCACACTGGTGGATTAATTGGCGCAGCCTGTGATCCACCATGTCGCCAAGCGGACGACACTATGGCATATTTCGTATCAGCATTGCATTATTCAGACAGGTCCCATATGGATGCCTCATTTCTGGTCGACACTTTTGGTATAATTTCGATTGTGAGCACTATACCACACATGAGCAGAACATTTCATCGTCACACTCCACAGTGATGGCAACATTTTGTCATCGCCATGTAAACAAACTGTCACTTCTCACAGCCGGCTTTCTTTTGCACTTCAAAATAATGATTAACTAGCTATAATTTAGTGAACTACAGTACGAGCAGTTTCTGGAGCTTCTTAAGACATGCAGCAAGTGTGACAATCAAATCTTTCTTCATCTTCAAATTTATTAGCGTCAATGTCATCCCTGTTCCACTTATCAAGCAGTTAGTGAAACCCTAAGCCTTTTTATGAGACGAAAATAAAACTAGGGAAGGTGAGGGGGAGGTTGCTGCGGTGCCATCGGTGCAATTCTGTGCACCAATGAAAATGCTGGGCATGGAAGATTTCATTCACCACAGGGGACAGACGGCATTGTCCTAGCTCGGTCGACAGGAGACAACGTTGGGCTCCCCAACCCGGCTCTCGAGTTCCACTTCGTCGGACTCTAAAAGTCCGGGAACACGGTAGCCCATGTTCATGAGCATCACTTCCAGTGGGTCGGCATTCATCCGACGCTGATTTGCCACGGCTGCGTCCTCAGAGTCGATCACTTCCCTGTCTTCCTTCTTTCCGTCCTGCAAATGTGCAGTGAATGCCGCAAGTGTGAGATGACTTGGTTATGAAGACGAGTGAATGCCTGTGCGCATGTGACTAAACACTTCTGAGTGTCAGAAGATAAAAGTATGAACATTTCATCACATACTTAAAACCTGTGTGCGCTGCTACCAAGATCCGCCCGGCTTACCGGCTTACAGCCACACGTGAAAAGCATTGAGGATAGCAAAAAAAAGAAAATGACTACACAGCAGTTGCATTCTTCATGTGCTGCATGTAATGCCTAACCAACATCATAGAGGCAAACTGATGTCAACGACATTGAATGCCTTCTGCATGACTGCTGTCGCGGTCACATTCTACATCCATTGACCATCAAATCAGTAAATCGACCATTACTTGTCTTACAAATCCCAAAGTGCTAGCTCATTAGAGCCAGTTTTACCTATGGCAAAATTTTTTGTCATTTGCCTTTCATCAAGCACGGCATCAGATGGATATAGCATTCTTGAAATAACACAGCAACTCGCAAGTTTTGTACCTTCCACAGAGTGTACACCGGTGATTGCATGCACACCGCAAACTTCTTGTAGTGTATACGTCTCTTTTTTGATCACAGGCACTGTTACTCTGGTAATATGCATTTCATGATTTACATTTTATAATAGTAAATCTCGTAAAATAAGAGAACAGTTGAAGGTTCACTAAACTGAAAAACTAGGTTACCTTAGACTGATAGTTATTTTATAACGCCAAAGTTCTCAACTTGGTGATTTTTAGGTGAATAATTAGAACAGAAAATGAGGTTCAATGTGTCACTCGATTTTCACGCCACAACCTTGGCACCCAATCGCAACTCCAGGTGCACAATTTTTTTTTTTTTTTATGTTGTCCACATTGGCACATACCAGCCACATTAAGCCTGTGCTTCTTTTAGAGCACAATGTGATTTCTACCGATATAGTTTTGTGCATCACAAACAGATGCCGTCAAAATCTATGACCTTATGGCGAGTTGGCACGAGAACTTCAAGGCAGCATTGCCGTCTTTATCTTCTTTTTGATAATTTTCTGGCTTATGGAACGTCTTCTCCCATGGAGTGTGGTGCTTTTGTACTGTTAAAAGCTAATTTTACCAGCAATACAAGTGAGATTCACTAATGGTTAAATTTATACATTTTCTACAAGGTTGTATGACAGTGCTCTAGCTACAAATCACCTCTGGCTTTGGGCTCCACAGCCGGACGACAGGGTCTATTCCACTGGTGGCTAGAAGGCAGGTGCTCGGGTGCGGCTGCAGGCAGTTTACGATAGAGTCGTCGCCCCGCATGACTCGAACAAGGTTTGTGCTCTGCTTGTCCCACACAAAGAACGAGCCATCATCCGAGCCGGCCACCACGAACTGACCCGCACTGCAAGCCAGGAGGGAAAGAGAAACACCTTGTGAAGAATCGAGCAAGGTCAGGAAACATGCTTTATTCCTCGGAGCAGACATACCAGATGCAGTCGTGCAAATAAAAACAAAGAGAACACACCACAAATTGTGACAAATGTACTGATGAAGAAAAGTCTATCGATTCAAATTCAAGCATGGTACACCATCTTTTGATATGAAAATGACTCCAATAGTTGCTTGCGTGTTAGAATTGAAAACGCAGCCAAAACCATGTTTGTGCCATTGGTATCCCTTCAGAGGGGTCAGATGCAGAGTCACCACCACGATTACAAAATGGCGACCGAGCACATTTTGTTGAGAAGTAGAGATTGCGTCAGTTCATTTCATGCGTTGCTGGAACCTATCCATTCATTTACTGCCTGTCCTCAGGTACTATACTGACTGTCACTGTCAGCATGTTTGCCTAATGCAAAGAGCTTTACGTACAGTTCACAGGAACTCCAAATATTACTATCCGGTATACCTATAACAATGTCGCCACATCACTCGCAAGCGACTTAAAGGAAGGAAACGCCGTAAAATTTGAGTCATGAATCAAAATCGTGACTGGGCAAACCTGTGCCCATAACCAAAAAGAAAAAGCAAATATCGAAGCACAATGATGGCGGCAAGAAAAACTGTTGGTTGTAGAAACGTGATCCCTCAATGAAGTGCAGATTCTTACATTGGTGCTTGGACACATTAATGCTATTCACATTATGTGCGCAAACAGATAAGACACAACTGTCTTGATAAAGAATTACAAACATAAAAGAAATTTCAGCACAGTGTTCGTATCTTTCACTGAGCAACAAATCAGTAACAAGACGATGAGGAATGGTTTCCATCAGAAGCAAGAAATGCATTACATAGTTCTTGGTATGGCCCCATCGCGATGGTCTAGGGGCTAAGGTACTTGGCCGCTGACCCGCAGGTCGCGGGATCAAATCTCGGCTGCGGCGGCTGCATTTCCGATGGAAGTGGAACTGCTGTAGGCCCGTGTGCTCAGATTTGGGTGCATGTTAAAGAACGCCAGGTGGTCAAATTTTCCGGAGCCCTCCACTACGACGTCTCTCACAATCATATGGTAACTTTGGGACTTTAAACTCCACATATCAATCAATCAATCAATCAGTTCTTGGCATGGGCTACATATTTGGAAACTTCGTCTTGCAAGTGCTCACCTGCCAAAGAAGTTTGCCTCCTTGATATCTGTAGTGGTGTTGCAGTGGCCACAGAAGCGTAACTCGTAGTCGTAAGCCACTGCGCGCCACGCCTTTTCTTGCTCAGAGATTTGGGGCTGCCTCCTGTGCTTTGGGCTGGAGTTGGCACTGCCATTAGAGCTTTGAGATTCAGACCGGCTGCCTTCCTCGGAGTCTGTTGCAGTAGTGAACAGTGCAGTAAATTGTAGTAAACAGGATAAGAATTACAAGCTGTCTTGACAGCATCCCATCAGTGCTTTACAGGGAATGTCTCTCAGTCCTTAATACAGTTGTTTTTTTACTGGTTGTGGCAATCATGAAAACACTGCATCGAAATTATTAAAGAAACACACCTGAATTAATTGCAAGAGAAAATAGTGAACGCGTGGTGTACAAGCTTAAGGGGGAGAAGCCTCCTTCAAATAAGATTTTAGGAATGATACTGTATGATGAACTAAACAGCAGCAAGCCACCTGCAGTTATAACGAAATAACAAGGCACAGCACTCAACAGGGCAGTGGTTTTTCAAAAGTTGTTAGTCATATCTAAGACAGAAGGTTGTGTAAATCAATTAGGCAGCTGCATTTTGTACCTTCTTGGCATGCTCAGCCTGGCGACGACGATTAAAAATAGTGCCACGCTACAGCACTGCTGACAGTGAAGATGTTGCCAGAGAAAATTCTTTTGGAGTAGTTACGGTGGCAGCATTACTGAAGACTTCCCATTTTAATAGGAAAATGAGTCAAGCATTTATGAAAACCCTGTATTTATCTCACAGTGTGAGTTTGACTACATTTGTAGATGCAAAGCAGCTTCAGATTTGAATGTGCTGGATCATGTTTGTGTCGGTGCAAAACAACATCTATGTACCACCGAGTTAGTTGCAACTTGTAACGGTGCATCTCAGTACTCTGTAGAGCATTAAGGCCAAACCCCATTAACGCGAAAATGTACACGACAGCGACGAGTGATGCTATGAGCGACGCAACAAGGCATTTGAGTGACTTGTCGCGTAGTAAATTTCGCGCGATCGCTTGGTTCTACTGATTTGGAAACCGTCGCTCATCACCCGGAAGTGCTGTGCTAAAAGTGCCGAAACAGGATGTACATGACTGACGTACTGCCGGTTCTCTCCATGTGTCACGAAACCACCGCCTCCTCTCATGCTCCTCTTCGCCCGAGTCACGCGTGCACAACAAAGAAATAACGTAATGTTTATGCACGTGCACATAAAAAAAAGTGCTGCAAGGCAATAATAAACACTTTCCGTTCCATCATACAACAAAACGTTTTATTTTTACATAGCATATTGCCAACTACATGGAATTTTTGGTACGAGTAGATGGCCTCACGCCAGCAACAGTGAAGTTCGCTCGCCGAAGCTGTCGCGTGAATGAGGTTGCGCAAGCGACTGTTCACGCAAAGGCAATCTACATCGCTTCGCTCGTCGCTGTCGTGAGCATTTTCGCGGTTATGGGGTTTGGCCTTTACTTTTTCATGCATTGGAGGAAGACTTCTTTTAGCTGCAGCTTTGTATATTTTTATTTTTAATTATAATCAGTGAACAACAATGCAATAAACTAACTAGAGGAACACAAAATGATTCACAACTTCGAGAAGGTTATGGAACACGGAACATTTACATGCTCTGCTCTTAACACATTTCTTTGTTATTGTTAATATGCCAGAACTGCCTCCTAATATTAAATGCGATAAAATGCTCCCTTTGATATACTAAACGATCTCCAAAAATTAGCAGGTTTCTATAGCCAACACAGTCTTTAATGGAAGGTGAAGTCCAGCTGCATCTAAATGTAATGAACCTAGAGCCTCTCAGGCATGTTACCTTGTCATTACAATACACTCAACATAGCAATTAATTAAATTACAGCATCTCATTTACTACATCATTTTAGCTTCTTCTCAACAATGCAAGAGGTGCTCTGCTACAGAAACTCCAAGTCTTTTTAAAAACACTGCATGGGCGAGAAATGGCAAACATCAGTACCATTGTCGGTCTTGGAGAATATGGCCGCCTTGATGTCCCGATCCAGTGCCTGGCATGTCTGACTGAGGGCACAGTCGGGGAAGCGCGACTTGAAGGCCTGCAGGCAGTCGAGGGCCTCCTTGGTCCAGCGCAGCTCATACAGGCAGCGCACCAGCCGCAAGTGTGCCTTCACATAGTCTGCCTCCAGTTGTAGAGACGTGTGACAGTCCCTCAGCGCAGCATACATGTCCCCGTCCCTGCGGTCATACAAGAGACAGACACGGGGATGATAATTCACAAAAGGACAGGAAAGCATGAACCACGCAAAGCTTAAAGGGGCCGTGCACAACTTTTCCAAGTAACCGCCTAATGGCTTCATCAAAAGAGCTTATCGTCTCACATACTGCTGCAAAAATTTTTTAAATCCCCCAAGTACGAGCCGAGTAACGGAAACACGTTTAAGCGCTTTCTTTTGCCTTTTGTACCAGCAAGCGTTGTGAAAGCTACGCAGCAAGGGGGGTGACTAAGGGGCCAGAAGATGCATCCTTCATGAGGGCACAAAACTGCTGGCTTAAACGGCAACACACTGGCTTAAGACCGAGCATAATGAAACGACGACATGAACACCTGATGACTTGAGCATTAAAAATGCAACAACGCACGTAATGGCAATCGAATTACCACACACTGTATGAGTCAATGGCTAGCATGTGCATAACGTTTGTTTTGAAGACAAAACTGTTTCAGTACATCACTAAAACATGCCACATTAACATCTCTGACAAAACAAAGCACATCCAAGCTGCAAGTAATGGCAGCACGTTTTCTATGACCACGGTGAAGAAAAGTCTATAATGTCTCCAACATATGTTGCAGCATCACCTGTATTTTTGTGCAGACCGCAGACTGCGCACAAACAGAAACACCCATCAGAAATGGTTGAGCATTCTTCAGGACAGATAAGAACGAAACGGGTAAATCAAGCGGGCAATCTCTCTTTCTACGAATGCAGCCACTGCCATCAAATAACGACGTCGCTAATAGAAGAAAAGCAACCACAAGGCTTACCAAGCTCGCTTCATGAAGGCAGCTGCACGATTGCAGTACAGAACTGGTGAGTCGGACACCAAGCCAATGGCCTTGTTGTAGAGGTTAATGGCCAAGGTGTACTTCTGCTTGCCAAACTTCTCGTTTGCTTTGCATTTTATGGCCTCTACGCGGGGCGGCAGTGGCTTGCTGTTGGCAGGCCTAAGGAGGAAAAAGGCCGGTTGAAAAGAATGATGTGGCATGGGGCCACAGTGGAGAGGATTTCGGCGGCATGAAACCGAACCCTAAGTTTGTTCACCAGCTTCCGATTTCAACAGAATGGCCTTTTCTTTGTGTTATTTAACCTCGGTGTTTTTATACTGTCCTGTTGTACATATTTTTTGGACGCATAAAAGAACCCTTTTGAAAGGGTACCATGCATGAAAGACTGAATTTCAGTATGACGAAGTTAACCATCAATTCCAACGACCTTCTTGTGCTGAGGTTAGTACGCGTGTCACTCTTACATGCGACTTTAATTGTAGCAATAAAATCATGCCTACATGTGTCCAAAGACTACCCCAAATATACTCTCAGCCGCATTACAATCTTGTAAATGCACACAAGTATCTTGCAACAATCTCAGACACTCCTAAATTCAGTTTCTTGGGGCTAAGTATATCCAAGGTTTCTTGAGTGCCAACAACTACGCAGCACCATCGCAAATTTTCGGAAAGCAGTTTGAGAAGATGCAGAAGGCTAGTTTCAAAACTTCCGCCATTCGTAGAAATGCAGCCACAGAGCGAATGCATGCCTAATGCCATTAGCGCGAGTGCACAAAAGTAAGGGAATGCACTCGCTACAGATTCACAGGATTGATACGTACCCCCACTTTGTACTGGATGAAATGGGAGGAGTGTCTGTGGATGCAAGGATTCCATTCTGCTTCATTCCACTGGAAACCATTCCATTGGAGATGCCGTTTTTGTGGGTGCTGAATCCATTTGCAGGACTACTGCCTCCCTCGGCCAAGTCTGGAAGAGGGAAGAAAGTTTTAAAAAAGGGGGAAGTTATTTTACCAGTGATGTTCTTCACACATTTCCACTTGACTCTAATTCATTAATAATAATGAACACATTCATTAATTTGAAAGTCTACTGCACTAATCAAGCCTCAGACAAGCATATCACATTACTGGCTATGAGTCGAGTGTTCTAAATCCGCAAGAACCGAAACAACAGGATCATAAAGTGCAGATAGGTCACGCGTGTACACCCAGCTTGAAATCGCAATTTAATTTTCTGGTGGTGTAATTCTTCCTAGTTCATTAACACCTTGCAAACCATAACAGAGAGAAACATCAGTAGCAGTAGTAAAGCCAAAAGCCAGCTGCTTACTTTTGCACAACCCATTTGAGTGAAGTGATGATGTGAAGCTCTGAAGGTCAAAGCTTTTTGGCTGTCGCAGGTGGTTGATGTTAAATAAGTAAATCTGCTCGCCACCTAAATTGGCTAGAAGTTCGCTGCCATCGGGGCTGAAGGCAACATAGGTAGAGGCTAACGTGCGATACCTCTTCCTGGGGTATTTTAGTGGAAGGTGACCTGCGAAGGAGAAAAGAAACGGAACATGAGACGTGTTGTGCGAGTATTTCACGTAATTTTGTCGCAACAAATCACAGTTTCGCTTATACTCGACACGTCTCCTAATGCACAGTGCACACGCGAATTCCTATAGCTCAGTGGTTCTCAAATGGGGGTCCGCGAAGCCATTTTTATGATCCGCGATACCCTCACCCGCTTTCGTTTTACATTTTTTCTATTTTGTTTTAAGCAAGACTGTGCCACGTATTGATGAACCGTCCAAAATGAAGTGATATGGCACGTTTGTTTTATGTTTTTGGTAGCAATAAAAGGCACCTGCTACACGCTTCAGTCGTGCTAATTTACCTACATACCCCCCTCTCCTCCTTATCCTCAGCTGCAAGGGGTCCTCCATCACTTCCACCAGTCCACAAGGGGTCCCAGACACACCCATGGCTGAGAACCACTGCTACAGCTCATACAAACCTTGGCTTTCTTTATTCTTGCATTACGTTGTAAAAGTGGTTTAACTTGAACCGAGGCCTTCAGTTAACGTGAACAATCTGGGCTTTAAAGGGAGAGCAGCATTGACAAAAACGGCTGATGAAAGAACATACATCAGGTAGGAGCATGCTCGAATGCTCTCAGATTAGGTATTTAGGCTGCTATAATCAAATGCACAAAAAACCAAACAAGAGTTACCACTCCAAACTTACACATTTGCTCACGAACACAATGCTGTATATGCATGCACTTTAATATACATACTTTAGTCATACATCTCTGATTACAGCTTCCATATTAAATAACTGTCAATAAATTATGTTGTGCAATGTAGCATGCTCAACTATGCGAAATTTTTACAAAAAGCACGAAGAATGCAGGCTCACTACTACGCACATGAAAGTCTGAAAAATTATTTAGAGCACTTTCATGATAATTTGCTCTAAAAAGGCTACAGACACGTAGAACATCAGCACGATCTCAAATTTATGCTGCAGATGTCATTCTTACAAGGCATTAATCTTTTGGTACCAACGAAGTTTTACTAAACACTATGTGAAAATTCTTTCTTTTTGGTAATTTAATCTACCATTTCTTTAAGGAGCTTATAAAAAGATGTGGTTGCAAGACTGAATCAATTCAATCCATTGGCAAGCACAGACAATAACAGTCGACCTAAAAATATGTGCTCATTCTTTTATGCTGCTATGATTCAAAGCATCCGTCCGAGGAACAATGTTCACAAAACCCATAAAACAGGTACGCACCTGCAGCAAAATAAGTTACGCAGCCAGGTGCGAGGTTGTCAGACTCCGCATCGGGCTTGGAAGAACTACTGTTGAACCTTGCGAGCTGCATGGAAGAAACAAATTCTTTAATGCTGCAAATCGTCTTGTCTAGAAAACTATTACTGGGCGTGGCTCGCTGCATGCTCGCATAACAACTACCGAGTGGTTTGTTACTGGGAACATGTTTCTGATCACAGCAAATCATTGGCATAGCCAAGAAAGGGAGGTGGGGCTCAAATGCCCCACTGAAAATTTTCAATTTTGCATGAATAACCATACATAAAGCATGACTGACCCCCCCCCCCCCCCCAAAGAAATGCTAGCTGCACTGGTGCAGCTACCTTCATGATAAGGTCAACTAATGAGAGCAGAACCACGAGCACTTCATTGTGGAGGTGCTGTGCTACTTTTAGGAGTGCACTTAAAGTGTAGTATAACGAACCCGGATATAACGAAATATTGGTTATAACGAAGCCAATGAGGAATAGTCTAGCAACACATATAATGTTAGAAATATACCTTTATAACGAATTTTCGGATATAACGAACTTACTTTTATGTAAGATGAAACTTTTTGTATTGAGGTTTGAGTGTAGTATGACAATGCCACCTCCACTGAAAGTCTATTTTGTAACCTTTACAATGACGTCAACACAACCCTAACTTTTCAAGTGCTTTATTCTGCTGTCCAGCTAACTACATTGCTTGTTTACATAGCACTGAAACACAAAAACATTATTCTGCTGTCACTGACCCACCACCATTTCCATATGATGGAATATTTTACATAATTCTTCAGATAATCACCGTGTTTACTCAATTGTAACACGAGGAGCGACCTTCATTGCATCCAGGAAAAAAAATTTGATTTCAGTATTTGGATGTATCATAGTAGACTTTATCTAGCAATAATCTGTAAAAGAACTCTCATTACATTTTAGTAGATATGGCACCAAAATCCATTGTCTAGACACCATACAGCTACCAAATTTAACAGAACTACATAACACAACATAATGTTGTTTTACAAGGTCAACGCATTGTGAAAAGTCACCTGTTGACAACACTAAGTGACCCTTATTAGACTGCCTGCTTAACCTACGCCTTTGCCCGTTTTCACAAAAAGGCAAGGGTGGCGTATAAGACATTTTCGATCACATCAGCCATAAGATCCACATAAAACCACAAGTTCAACAATTTCGGCACACTGATTGCACCGATAAGCATAGACATCCCGTAACACCACATTTATTTTGCTTTTAAGATCACAATGTTTTGTTCACAAATGCAAGAAAAGAAATTTTCTGGGGATCGTTCCAATTAGCAACATTTTCAACTGAATTGGCCAAGTCACGCCTAAATGATGACACTTCAGTCATACATAGCACACACTTTATAACCTACTCAAAATATACCCCGAGTTTCATATCACGCTTGCAAAGCAACACCATTCAGCACTACTGGTATGATAATGCAAGTTCAACAGAAGCATTAAAGTGCTAACCTTGGTGGTGTTTATCATACGCCGGTCATAGAGACGAATGTATGAATCGTTGGCACCCACAGCAAGCAGGTGCGGTTGAAGCTGGTTCACAGCTATACACTTGGCTTCCACATTGCGACCCAGGTGGTAGCCAAGGTTCACTAACACATGATTTGCATCCGCTGTGCACTGATGTGGCATCCGGTAGTCAAACTGCCTGCAGCATGGCGAAACGCATATGCCAGTCAGTGCTATGCATTATCCTCTTGGTCACTGTGATCGCTAGTTTAGCGACCAGTTTAGAATGAATGATCTTATACGAGGAAACAAACAAGTGATGCATGCGGACACAACCAAACATCGCAAAGGTGTTGCGTTCAAAAGACACTAAATGGAACCACTAGACCAGTTTATACTTGACACATGGTTCGTTCAAAATGGTGTTATGACACACACTATCGTCAGACATCTCGGGAACATCAAACAGCCAGTCTTTTCTAGGTACCATGACACTTTGCAATACCTGTCCCCTGCACAGCCAACAACCCAGTCACTTTTTCGCTTTTTGTCCCTAGTAGAGTAACTGACCCCTTACCCAGTGCTTTAACATTTTCAGCTAATATCAATATGTATAGTTTGGATGTATGCCACCGTTTTGGGTCACATGACAAAATCATTCATAGCTATGGTTTACTGAAACTACAGTTTCTGTACCCTTGAAAGAGCGACTGAGTGAGGTTCAAACAAAAACTTGCCTGCACCCTCAATCGCACACAGAAAGTATCTCGTGGCGGTTGAATGCAATGCCTTTCTTCTTGATAAGCAAACAATCATTCCGAAGCAGAATATGTCGAAATCAATGACATCATATGAAGCTGATGTGGAAACCTTGGGATGCTCTCAGTACCTCCCTTTTTTTTGCCTTCTTTAGTTCATGAATACTCCAATCAATTAATATATTAAGAATTATCTGAAATGATTATAACTGTAAACCCCGTACTATATGGCTTACTGTGGGTCACTGTTTCTCTTCAGTGTATGTTTGAACTCTTAAAATGAATTTTCAAAGCAAGTGCAGCTGATGACTAATCTACCACAGTTGCACAAGCCCAATCGAATATTCCAATGTAGAGGCATACTCATGAGACTTTTACTCCAATCAATGCACAGCACCGAGAAACTGGGCTTCCCCAAATTATCAGCGGTGATTTTCGGAGATCTGGAACTCCAATTGGGCATCGGAGTGGAACAGCGGAGATGCTGCAGCACTCACAGAATGACACCGTCCTCAGCAGCACTCCAGAACACAAAGGGCACACTGGCTGCAGTCGCTAGTCGTTTGACTCGACTCGTGTGACAGCTGCAGACCATGGTGGTCTCTCGTGCATGAATGTCGTGCACACGGATCTTGAAGTCTGCTGCTCCACTAGCCATCAGGCCATCACCAGAGTAAGGCAGGAACTGGAACAAAGGAATCGGAAGTGGCGCTCTAGTGTGAAGCAAGCCACTCGACGCGTGCATTATGGACAATGCTTCAACAAAAATCCGTAAACAGGGGTTGTGTGCTTGAGCCGACGTGTTCTGACAGGTAAACTTGTCTTCCTCAAGCCTAGTTCTAGCCGTAAGGAAGACAAGTCGACTTCTCGAAACATAGGCTTGAGCACAGAACCCCTGTTTACAGATTTGTTTTCATCACAAGCGTCCATCTACCACTTCCTGCCATGTTTTAGACAGTGTTTCAGTATTTCATGCAGGAAAACCTCTATCACTGATTAAGCAGTTGTTCAGCTGAAACAGCTTCCATCTTTCCACCTTAACTCCTTCTTTCACAAGCCAGATGGTACAAGGATCGTGCTAAATGTGACGCTGCATCATCATCATCATCATCAGCCTGACTACGTCCACTGCAGGACAAAGGCCTCTCCCATGTTCCGCCAGTTAACCCGGTCCTGTGCTTGCTGCTGCCAATTTATACCCGCAAACTTCTTAATCTCATCTGCCCACCTAACCTTCTGTCTCCCCCTAACCCGCTTGCCTTCTCTTGGAATCCAGTTAGTTACGCTTAACGACCAGCGGTTATCTTGTCTACGCGCTACGTGCCCGGCCCATGTCCATTTCTTCTTCTTGATTTCAGCTATGATATCCTTAACCCCCGTTTGTTCCCTAATCCACTCTGCTCTCTTTTTGTCTCTTAAGGTTACACCTACCATTTTTCTTTCCATTGCTCACTGCGTCGTCCTCAATTTAAGCTGAACCCTCTTTGTAAGTCTCCAGGTTTCTGCTCCGTAGCTAAGTACCGGCAAGATACAGCTGTTATATACCTTCCTCTTGAGGGATAGTGGCAATCTACCTGTCATAATTTGAGAGTGCTTGCCAAATGTGCTCCACCCCATTCTTATTCTTCTAGTTACTTCAATCTCGTGGTTCGGCTCCGCGGTTATTACCTGCCCTAAGTAGACACAGTCTTTTACAACTTGAAGTGATGCTGCATCCCACCACCAGAATCCATTAATACGCAAGCATTCATTCACAGGCAAGTTACCAAGTCGCTTAAAGGCAAACCGGAGGGGACAGATGTAGCGATAAAGTGTCGCTAAAGAGGCGCTTGCGAGTAAAAAACTATGTGGCTAGGCGGAGAGACCATTTGAACACTCATTACATGAAGTACAATGGTGTCTAGTTGCACAAGCAAACACAAACACATTTCATTCGATAATTCTAAAATGTCCGATTTCCTATGCTGGGATCAAGGGGTAGAAGATTACCCTTTTTATGTGCCATCGTAGACATCCCATTTGTGAAATAGCTGTTGTGAAGTCTGTCAAAGTAACCTGTTTAACGTAAAGAGATGTTCTAGGAGGGGCTGTGCACAAGGAGATGACACCTATTCACTTGCATATCCTCCACATTCACCTAGTGAAACTTAACGTAAAGAGATGTTCTAGGAGGGGCAGTGCACAAGGGGATGACACCTAGTCACTGCATATCCTCCACATTCACAAAGTGAAACTTTGCCATCTTTTTTTCTATCAGGGGGACTGCCACACTCACACTGCAGCAAGCTAAACTTGTCTAAGCTCATCAATATGCAAGCTCATCATGGTCGCACTCATCAGCATTCAACAAACTTGAGGCATTTTCACAGCGCATGTGTTCTAAACTATGTACATATAATTAAGTTTCACACATGCAAATAACAACTATTTGAATGCATTTAAAACAAATGCCATAATGAAACCATCTGCCAATAACATGCACCTGTAAACGTGTACATGTACATGTGCTACACATGTACATGCCTAATATCTAAACATCACCATACCTCCAACAGAAAAGCTCCCATCAAGGCCCCCCCCCCCATCACATTTATTCACAATTTCACTCTTTTGGTGAAGCTTTCAAACTAAAGTTCTGCTGTACGCATTGTGGAGCCATAAAATGTGTGCTTTTTTTGGTTGGAACAAAAGCAAAAGTATGGTTAAATCTCACCTTTATTGAGAATATGTTTCCATGATGTCCACTTGGAATGGTGTGGAGCCTCCGATGTCGAAACGGATCCCATAACATTATCTGTACATCGTCCGAGCCGCTGGCAAGGATCCTGCAAGCCATGAACAATTCGCTTTATGCAAACTAGTAGTGTGCAGTAGTCTAATTGTGCATTAATGAATTACATTGTGTTACTTACTCTCCCTTCTGATTCCATTCCAAGCAGTTTACACAACCCGCATGACCCTGAAGTGTGGAAGAACGCAGAGAGATGGAAGTCGTATTAGAATCTGTCCTTTCTCAACTAGCACTGCCAGCTTCAAATGTTTGCTATACACACACATAAAAAGAAAAACATTGCATAAACGTTAGTTTGCAACAGCTAGGCTAGACCTGCCTTGCTACCAAAAGGAGAGCAGAAGTTATTTTCCCATGTTCAAGAAGCAGACCAGTGAGGCCAGTGGGTAAAAAGGCCACTGTTAAGTTTATAATAGACCTTTCGCTGATAAGTACTTCGTATCGGTTCAGTCAGATTACAGAAGCCAGGTCTCTCATACAGCTACCACCATAGTGGAGAACGTCTCCAATTCAAAAGGCAAAAGATTAGGCTTATAATCAAGGTTATCTCCAAAAATACTGATCTCGAACATGCACAAACGGTTGAGTGCGTAAACTTGGCCAAAGTTACACGTAGCGCGCAGGTGCTGAACCATGCTATTTACAACAAACAGGCCTGTCATTACAAAAGCTGCTACACCAACTGTGACAATGTGTACCGCACAAATTGCTCCACCTCATGTTAGTACAGACGCTATGTGTTGTCATGTCCTGTTGTCAAAGATAGGATCCTACCTTCATCATACTCAACAGCCACATTTTATAACATTGGTAAAAAAAAAATGCATACACACACTCCTATATTTTAGTTTTCACAGCTTTCTTACAGTGAACTTAAGACAAATTCTTCGGAAACCACCAAATCTATTACCTCAAGTTCAGCTTCAAGACCAAGTCTTGCTACCAGATCCTCCGTAACCTGCAACTTCCTCTGGACACGAGTGATACTCCTGTCCTGAAATTTCAAGGCACACATTTTGCTTCGGCGGCACCCATGCAATCTCCACTACCAGAAAAAAGAAACATTCACTCTGTAGTTAAGAACCTCCAAGGCCACGTTACGACATTTTTCAGGCACTCGCAAAACGGTGCACTTATCTTTTTACAACACTCCGTTCATCACCAGGAGAGAACCGATTATTAGAAGTGAGAATAGAGTACAACATTCACATCATTAACATATTGCCAAGAATGCTCGGCCAATTATATCACCGGCAAACTAGATCACCAACAAAACAGCACATTTGTCTATGTAGGCCTCACGTGTGCACGCTATGTATCAACAAAAGTTGCCAAGAACGATTTGGCAGTGGCCCCCATTGTGTTGCTATTTATTTTGATATGCTTTCGGCCCTTTGTCAATGGCTGGCACAATCCCAAGCCTTTGTTATTATCTGTATTGACCTTTCACACCTATGATAAGAAACAAATAAATAAAAGAAGAATAGAAACAGTCCCAAGTTTTTGTTCACTTCGGAACGTAGTAATGCTTTCTTTGTTTCTAATGTTCGACAGTTAAGATGCTGACCGGATCAAACCAATATCTGACATAACAAGGAAGTGGTGTGTCTCATGAGCGTGATTCGCTCATTGGGTGTGCCCTCTAGTACATCTGCAGCAATCCAAAAGTTGAATTGCACATGCACGATACACCCATGTCTGTGCAATCCTATAAAAAAAAGTGACGTAAAGCAATGGCACACAACTAAATTTATTTCAACCAGTGGTCCTGGAATTGATTGCCCATGGGCACGACGTGTAGCCACATTTGTCAGTGAGCTCAAAACCCACCAAACCTGTAAGACTTCTCAACACGCCCACGTTAATCTGTCAAAGCTTGCAGCTATAAGCAGCAATCCGGTGCAATAGTCAAGCTAGTCTTTATCGTAGAAGAAAACAAAACATTTGATTGCGCAACGCTTCAAACTGTTACGCAAGCCGAAAACGGACACACCGATTTGTTGGGAACCGTAAGATTACATTCATCATTAAATGTATGGGGTTAGTTCGAATGTTTTTTTTTTTTTTGTAAAAGCGTGCGCTGAAAATATTTACAGGTGCGTCGAAGCACAGTTGTTCACGGGCGAAGTTGCTTAGGATTACACACCGATACGCGCAGCGACGCAGCTGCAATTATCTGCCGAGCACAAAATGAGAAGCGAATAATTAAGCTAGTTTGGCAACGCAAAGTTAAGTCAATGCGAGCTGTGATCGGATTACCGCAAGTGATTTACCTTGAACTGTCGTTCGCTAAGCAGCCGCACGATGTTCTCTTCGTAGCGGTGCCCCATGGTGACAGGGGATCAATCACGCACAGCTCATCCCGCCTGCGGCAGAGGAAAGCAGACAATCGTTCACGCAATCTGTGCGAACTTGCGGGGCAAATCATTCGCGAGTGCTTTATGGTCCCAGCGAAAGACGGGCGAGATCTTACGCGAAATGCGCACATCTGCGGCGCTGTTCATGTTGCACGGGGCAAGCGTGAACAGACGCCTTTGTAGGTCATGTAGCGCGCTAAAGATACCCGTTATATTTATCAAACCAGGAAGTTCGTTACCCCTGCACTGGCAACGAGCGGCTAGCTTCTCAGGCCGCTCTAACGGGAGGGATCAGGCACGCTAAACTGAGGGACAAGTCCCTCACGTAGTGAGCTAGCCCCACACAGCTGACGAAATGGCACCTTTCAAACCACCACCGCGATCAATCGCAGTAAACAAAGCCCATCGGCGATAACGTCTGGGATTACTATCACGATTACCTTGCCGGGAGGGTGAAATAAAAACGCACACGAACTATGGGAGCGTTCTCTTCCAGCGGCGATCGGCCCTGTAATTTCTTTTATTTTTTTTTGTGCAATCGACTTTCGGATGACGGCCGCGGAGTTCGGTAGCTACGAAGCGCTGTCAGTTTCGGTCGCGTCGTTGATTGCAGTATTGAAGCGGAGCAGACTGCAACGCGACGGTCATAGCGACTCACATTGTCGAGAAAGTGTGGCTACGTCAAATGCGGAATTTATTCGGAGGAACGAGCACAAGAAAAAAATGATTTCCCGTCTAAGCCTACCGACTCGGCTGTGACAGTTGCTGCAGAGAAAGCTGGTGCTCGGCTAACGACGCGGGAATTCGCAACAATTTCACGAGGCGCATTAGTGAAACACGAACGCGTTACGAGCGAGAACGATACGCTTACCTTTACGAAGAAAACGCGACGAGTGAGAGACATTTCGCATAGAGCGGCTCCATGTTTACAAACTACGTCGATCAGCTGACTGACCAATCAACTCGAGATGCACGCAGCGCGAATGCTTTGAGCTCCGTGATTCTTGTACCAAACCCGTTTTATTTCTTTTGAGACATGCAGGTTTGCGAGATAAGCATAAATGAGCGAAACGGGTTCGACTGCATTTGTTTGCCGGGAATACGAAAATGAGCTTGCAAATCGATGACTCGTGTGCCCGTGAGCAACGTGAGCGGGCGAAGTTGGCGAAGTTGTTCGAATGTGAGCATGTGGAGCGTGTGATGTTCGTTGCACGCCAATAGAAGAAAAAAAAAAAACTCTGATTAACGTTTGATGATGCAAGTGACACTAATTGAAAAGCCGATCTTGAGCGTTCAGTGCAACTGGAACGAAGCGTTGAGGTGAGGAAGCAGCCTCTTGGATGCACGACCTCATCCATATCCAACAAGCTTATTCGTAGCGCAATGTGTTTCTTTCCTTTCTTCACCATCTTGTCATATTGCACAAGCATGTCCTGTGCTTAGGGGCTCGCCTTGTAAATGTTTACTTTTCGTGGGTGCTGTTTTTCGCGGCAGGGAGAGAAATGGAGACGCCTGGGTGACTTGCAAATCTCGAGGTGAGTGCACGCTTATCACGATGGCGTTAGCCTGACCTGTACCATCTCATAGGCCAGCCTGGAATACATGGCAAACTGAGGCGAACTGGCTCAAGTGCCGACGGGACTCCCATGGTGTCAACCACTGACAAGTTTAGAGTGACCGAGATAACCAAGGTGAATTCATCACTAGGCGCCTTCACTTTCCCCCGTATGTTGAACTTAGCTTGTACGCTAAACCTTTTTAAACGTTAATTGTGACTCTACAGCTATACTGATCATTGTTTTAGGGGGAGGGGTGCTTTATTGTTTTGGAGTGTGTTTAACTGGCGTTCGCCCGCGACGGAGTTCTTCCTGCAATTGTACAGTTTCCTTTTTTCCCCCTCATTTTGTTCCAGGACACTATTAACGTCTCACACACTGACCCAAACTGCCAGACATGTTTCATTGCCCCAACAACAGCATTTGCGAACGTGCACAAGAAAAGTGTAAGATGTCTTTCTTCTCTAGCACACATTGTTAACGTCGTTTTCTAGGAAAAGTATGGGCAAGTTATATCGATATGCAGGCACCAACCGCAGTGCTTGAGGTGGTCATTCTTGACACTGCTTGAATGCAGGTGGCATGCCTCGACGTCACCAAGGGACACTTGGGTGTTTCGGCCAGTGGAACCAGTGAAATTCGTGTCTGGGACTCGCGGACTGGTGAAGTCAGGGTAAGACGGCAGCTCTGTTGTGAATAGGTCTCTGAGCTGCGTTCTTGTAGTTAACTGGTATTATACTTAATCATCTTATTAATAAAATACTGCTAAAGGCTTCTGTGTGAGTATGTTACTGCTATTGCGTATGATACCTTGTGTTATGGTTACGTGACATGTCAATTGGCTGTTTAAGGGGAGACGCTCCTCGAAAAAGTTTTTTTTATTTCAAATAATAGAGACTTGAAAAGTTTGTTATTAGTATAGTTTTTCATGCAGATTTCAAATATGCAATCATTTTTTGTGTAGCTGCTATAATTATTGAGTTATGCCATAAACAATAGCAAAAAGTTACATTTTTTGCGGGCACTCTTTTATGTACTAAACTTTCAGTAAAAGCACTGTGTCTGATCTTATTTGACTCTTGGTAGATTGAAAAGTGCAAATATCTATATAGATATGTCACAGAAATATTGGAACCAAGAAAAAAAAATTGTATTGAATGACTTATTATTTTCAATCTCCCTTGAAACAATAAGCTAATATTTTCACAACTAATGCTGGTAGGCATTGCAATTTAGAGTAGATATTTGCATTCTGCATGTGTTGAAGAATATGTGTGCCAAGTTTCGTTACTATACAATGAATATAAGTTTCTAAAAGGCTGCCCGGAAAACGTGAAACTGTCAGAAAAAATGAAAATGAGAAAAACAAGTTTGAAAGTTCGCAAAGTTGGCATTTATTAGGAAATCATTCTTTTTGCATCAAATTGGGGCACAATGAAAAGTATCTTGCCTTGAATGCACTGCAAGTGTCTAGAAGTCCCCTGCACCATAGCTTAATCCTTCACGGCTCTTGCGGTCAGTGTCCTCAACACGAGCTCTCTTCGCTGTGTTGCGACGGTGTGCCCTCGCTTCTGCAGTTTGCTTCAGGTTCATCTTCCTGATGCGCATGACGTGACAGTGGTCACCATGTGTGGCCAGATCTTGTGAGGGGAGAATTCCAATGCCTTCGAGCACTTCTTCAAAGCCCCTGTGGCCTTTGTTGTACCAGAGTACAGCAAGAGCGGTGGCTGTCTCCACAGTTGTTCTGGAGGCGAACTTTGTTTTTGGACATAGCAGCCATATCTTGCTGTTCAGCGATTCGGCTGCATTCTGTATCTTGCCATGAAGGCACCGAATAAGGAGTTTCTCCTCTGTAAAGCGCTTGTAGATAGGCATAATTGCCAATCCTTGAGCCTTCGTCAACAGTGGGGTGTGGCGTGGTGCAGGCTCCCCCAGTGCTTCCGCACGCTTGTGCTTGCACCACGAATTTGGTCCCGCGGGGCAAAAGTTGTGGCTACTGGCACCATCACTGGAGCAGCAATGAAAATACGATGCCCATATGGCAGTGTACATATTTCGGACACTGTCCTTGTTGCTCGTGATGGCGATCTTGTAATATGTTTGTAGTTTTATTATTGTCGCATTTTTCAGTTTTTCGCCTCGTGGCAGTGGCATTGCCAATTTCCGTAGGGCAGTTCCCAAGCGCTTTGCAACGTGGTTCGTGCACTCTTCTTTGTCAATGGGGGTGTCACAGTATACATTTGCCTCGCAGACTGCAGTGTAGGCCTTGCTGTCACCATCACTTTAGGAAGCTGGTGAATCGCAGTGGAGTTTCATAAGACAAGGTCCTCTGCCATATATTGACAGCTGCCGCAGGTTCCATTGCATGGGATGAGCAGTCAGTGTTTTTTTGGCAAACTGGAAGATGAAAAGCTCGCCATATCTCTTCATCCTCCCCAAGGTCCCTGTGTATACTGCAAGCATGGCAGTAGTTCGAAAGAACTTCAAAATCGAGGCAGAACCCCGTGTCCAGGGACATGACTGTGCCCACTCCATTGTGGCTTTTATGACCTCTTTTCTGCCAGGTGCCATCAAACATGACTGGCACATCTCTGCCGCCGACTGCGTCCTTTGTGATGTTTCGTGCCTGGTGCAAGTTTTTGCTCACTGCCGTCATCGCCGCACCATGGAGCTTCTTGCAAATGCCGTTGAATGTCTTGTGATGCATCGGGCTCGGAAGACCGAGAATCGCACAAAATCGTGAAAGTTGGTCGTGGCCTGCGCCTATAGCGCGTGCTGCCAGAACTGCCTTCACGTTTACAGCAAAGCTGTCACGCGAGCTGCCGCTGTCAAAACGAGCGCTCGTTCCTTGGTCCCCGGCCGAAGCAGTACGTCTCGACGTGTGCGTGAACGAAAGTGCAGATTCAGGGCAATCAGAATTTTGACAGCACAGTTCGAGGAATGCCGAAAGTCCTTTGCACTTTCCAGCTGCCTCTCGCACGCCGAGCTTCCGTTCGCGGCAGGTTGGGCATTGCGCACCCGCCACAAGTGCCGTCAGCGCATCGATTTCGCAAAGCAGCATGTTCGCAGTAGCAGCATCTACCGGTCTACGTTCACTCTCGAAGAATCCAATCTTCCTTTGGGATGCACTGACGAATTCCACGGCAGCGGCTATTTCACAACCACTGTCGCAGTGTTCGGTGACGGTGTTAGGCCTATCCGAAGTCGGAGCGTCGGGGCGTTGGTCGGGGGCGACATCGTCGTTCGCTGTCGCTTTGCGAAGCGTCCGACGACGTTTCCCTCGATACTTGTGGCGAGTTCTGAACTTTCGATTATCTGAACTGCACTTCTTCGGGCTTGCCATGACGCAAAAATGCAGAGAAACGCAGAAAAACTCGATCGCGACGTCCAAGGCTTCGCTCTTTTGCCGGAGAGACAGGAGGGGGAGGAGCGTGGAGCGCACCGCCGTCCAATGGCGGCCTCGCGCTGTGTGCCGCGATATTCAAAACGCGTGACGTACACGTCGTTTTTCTCGTTTTTTGTTTATTCTGCGTGAAGGCACGAGACTGGCTACTAGTGGATTATGAAGGATACGGCCTTCGCAGCATGCGTGCACGATTGCAAATGGCGGCCAACGCGTCGTTTTCGCGACAGGACGATGCGAACTTCGCCGTTTTTCGCGACTTTCGCGCATTTCTCGCGTCACCGCTGCCCACTTGGAAGCATTTTTTGATAATTTTTCGTGCGAATTTCAGCTTGATATTTTCAGAAGTAATAGATTATAGTCCAAGGATGCCAATACAGCCGGAAAAAAAAAAGCGAAAATTTTCCGGAAAACCGCGACTTTTCGAACCGCGTCTCCCCTTAACGTCACGAAGTACATGAAAATCGCTTTCGTTATCGAGCGCACGTATGTGCTTGCGCCTATATCCAGTTCTGTGCAGGATGCACAAGCCTTCTTTATGTAGAGGAGATGTTGACTAGAGAACAGTGCTTGCGTCCTCCGTTAAACAAATACCCCTTTGCAGTTCATTGATTGCCCGTCCTGACAGCATAACAAGGCCTTAGCAATCTCATGTCAGGCGCAACTGGACTAGTTGTTCCTTTTTTTTTTTCGTGCTTTATTCACGCATGTGTTTTCTTAACTACATTAGGCCCCATCTTTTAAAAGAGCTAGTACATTTCTTTCACTTGAGCTCGGTTTTGTTTAGTGTCAGACTGGAAAAGATGAAAGGTGGGTAGAGGTTTCGGATCACAAAGGGTCAAGACCACGATGGATGGATGGATGGATGTATGTTGCTGTACCCTTTAGATCGGGCGGCGGCTAACGCCACCTAGCCGTAATACTTAGTGAACTAACCACTAGATTTATCTTTTTTTTTTTTCCCTTTAAATAGTAAAGTTGGACGGGTACTTTGCAGTGAAGGGCTTAATTTTCACTTGTGCCTTGACTTTAGCCACCAATCAGATAACCTGCTTCTAGTTAAGTCTACCCGCTTAAAGTCTATTTTGCCCTCCCTGTCCCTAAACCCCAGTGCTTTGAAAAACTCTGCGCCATCATCCTGAACAATTGGTGAAGCCCTTTACAGAATATTATCAAGTGTTCGGCAGTTTCTTCTTCCTCTCCACACGCACTGCATACTGTGTCTACCCCTTCGTATTTGGCCCAATATGTCTTGGTTCGCAATACTCCCGTCCTGGCTTCAAACAGTAGAGAACTACCCCGAGTATTATCATAGATCCTTTCTTTGGCAATTTCCTGCTTAAAAGTTCGATAGATCTCTAGTGCGGACTTCTTAATCATGCCAATTCTCCACATTTCAGTCTCCGTTTCCTTCACTTTCTTCTTAACGGATAGGTCTTTTTGGTTTGGCCACCTGCTGTTTTCTAAGTATTTACGAGTCAATTTCCTGGTTCGCTTCCTCCATTTTGTATCGACATTCTTCATGTACAAGTAGCTGAAGACCTTCCTAGCCCAACACTCCTCCCCCATTTCTCTCAATCGCTTCTCAAATTTTATCTTGCTGCTAGCTAGCTTCCCTGCCCTGAAATGATGTCCATCCCATATCACCTTGTACTCCCTGATTTGGTGTATTCCCGTGAGCTCATAAAGCAAGCCTACCTATTCCACGTTGCTTAATTTCTAATCTTGCTTGAACTTCTGACCTCATGCACAAGACCGCGTTGCCGAACGTCAGACCAGGAAACGAGACCCTTTCCATATTCCTCTCACAACATCGTACCTATCGTAATTCCACAGTGCCCTATTTTTCATCACTGCTGCATTCTTGTTACCTTTAGTTGTCACGTATATTTCGTGTTCCCTTAGGTACTCGATACCATTGCTTATCCATACGCTCAGATATTTGTATTTATCTGTTATCTCTAGCCTGACTTCCTGTATTCTAAGCTCACTACTTTCGTTATCATTAAAAATCATGACTGCTGATTTTTCCTTACTGAATCTAAAATTTAACCTATCTCTCTCATTACCGCAGATGTCCATCAATCTCTGCAAATCTTCCTTGTTGTCCGCCATTAGCACTATATCATCTGCGTACATTAATGCTGGTAGTGCCTGATCAATGAGTTTTCCTTGTTTGACTAAAGAGAGGTTGAAGCCAAGTCCACTTCTCTCTAATTCGGCCTCTAATCCTTGTAGGTACATCATGAATAACAAGGGTGACAGTGGACACCCCTGCCCAAGTCCCCGTTTCACCTCTGTGGGCTTGGATACCTGTTTTTCCCACTTTATAACTACCTTGTTACTTTTATAGATTTCCTTTAAAAGATTAGTGACTCTATCTTCCACACCCAGTGTGTCTAGTATTCCCCACAAGTCCTTTTGAACCACGCTATCGTACGCTCCCGTGATATTCAAAAATGCTAGCAATAGGAGCCTGACTTCCTTTTCTGCTATTTCGATGCACTGCGTCAGTGAAAACAGATTGTCTTCCAACCTCCTGTGTTTCCGAAACCCAATCTGCAGTTCCCCCCGCACCCCCTCACCCTCTATCCATTCCTGCAGTCTTTCTTTTATAATCTGCATCGCCAGCCTGTAGACCACTGATGTCACTGTTATGGAAGGGTAGTTGTTTATGTCATCTTTGCTCCCCTTTCCTTTATAGATCATGCTCATCTTGCTAAGTTTCCATCAATCAGGGACTTCACCATCGATGATAGTTCTGCTCACTGCCTCTCTCAAAGTCTGTTTAGACTTCGTACCCAATTTCTTTATCAGCATAATTGGAATGCCATCTGGGCCTGTTGATGTACTACTTGGAACCCTCTTCTCAGCCCTTTCCCACTCTCGTTGTGAAAATGGAGCCATTGTGCCACTTGATCCATCCCTGTCTATTGTGGTGCATAAGGCACTTCTTTGTTGAAATTTTTCTGTTACCCTTGTTCTTATATATTCAATAGCTTCGTCCCCTTCTAGCATAGCACCTTGAGCTGTAGTTATAAACCTCTGCTCTATATTTGTTTCATTTCTTAGGGAGTTTAGATGGTTCCAAAATTTCGCAGCTGCCTTTCTGTCCTTTTTATGTACTTCTGCCAGCCACTGAGCACCCATTCTTCTAATCTTTTCATTGATCAGGAGGGATGCTTCCCTTCTAGAGCTTAGAAAGATTTCCCATTTTTTTTCAACATCATCTGTCGGTTCACCCTGCTGCTTAGCATGTCTGTGTTCCCTAGAGGCTTTCCTGACGTTTAGCTGTGTCTCTCTTAACTTCCTCATCCCACCAACTCTTGGGCTTGTGTCTTCTTTTCCGGGGTGACCTGTCACGTGCCTTAGCAAGCTCTAGCCAAAACAGTCTAATTAGATTTGTGTATGTCCACACATTTTTATTATCCTCAGTGATTACTTTCTCAATTTGTTTAGTAGCAATTTCTATTTGCCTTGAATGAAAATTTACCTGTAGTTGCTCATCTTGTCTCCTTCCCACTTTCGCTGCTCTTCCAAAACTTAGCTTTAATACGTTTGTGATCACTACCCAGACTTCTGGAGCCACCTTCATCTATGTGCATTCCCCTGAGCTTATCATACATCCTATGTGACATCAGTGTGTAATCTATCGATGACTGCAGCCTTCCTACCTCCCATGTTATTTGCCCTTCACACTTCTCGGTACTGTTGCAAATGATTAAGTCATGCCTTTCACACAAATCCATGATTATTTTGCCTGTTGAGTCAGTATACCCATCTATATCTTCTATGTGTGCATTCATATCTCCTAGTATAATTATCTCGCACTCTTCTCCTAATTCCTGAATGTCATTTGATATACACTCTACCATTGCCTGGTTTTGCCTCTGTGGCCTTTGCTCCCGTCCACAAGTACACGAAACCAAGGAGTGTCATTTGCCCTGCCACTTTTCTTTTTAGCCATAAATGTTCCTTGCATGCCTGCTTGACTCTTTGCCAACCCATGCTCTTATGTATAAATGCACCAATTCCACCCCCCTTTTTGCTGCCTTCTGTTCTTTTGCAATATTCCCATACGTAGTCTGGATTGCAGGGTGGTTGCTCCAGGTCCCGAAGATGTCTCCACAACCCCATACACCATCAGCTCCTCCTGCCTCTACTGCTCGTCTATCTCTTCCCACTTTAACCTATTCCTGCCACCCTACATGTTAATATAGCCTACGTCTTACTTAGCTCGGCCCTTGTGCTTAAGTCGATTTCTTCTCTCACGAACTTCATGTGGCTTGAATATTTGTGCCCCTTTAGGTCCGTATTTGGCTACACTGTTGGCCTCAGGGCTCTGGGTCCCCCTAAAAAAGCTATGGCTTGGCGACCCATTGTGTTACCGACCCTTCTACCTGTCGCACCACTGTACCATCCTGTGCAAAGGGGCAAGAGCCGGGCTCGTACACGTCTTGGTCAACTTCCATTACGCTGTATCCGAGTTGCCGGCTCAAACCCTTGATCACACAATTGGCCTCCACTACCCTCCTTTCAATCCCACGAGGCTGCCCCAGACCTCTGGGAGTGTGCATATGGTCACATGCACACTCCCAGAGGCTTTTCGGAGCTTACGCATCCCATCCTCTAGCTTTCTCTGAAGGTTCTGATCCTTGCCCTTCAACACATCATTGAGCCCAGCATGAATAATGACTAGATTTTTGCTCTCCATGCTGTTTTCTACAACCTCCTGAGCTTTGGCCAGTGCATCCACCATGCTCTTCCCTGACTGTGCCTCCACCCTGACTCTCCCATCTTCCTTCACTGTCTTGAAGACGCCATCCCTAACCCTGGCCACGTTATAGTCCCCCACCACTAGGACCCTTCTACGCTCCAATCGCTAGCTTCCTGTTTGTGATGGCGCCGCTATTTGCTTCACCTGTTTCTCTCTCTGCTGTCTGTCCTGTGTTTCTGCCCTGCTTGAAGACTGCTGCGCCACCAAGCTGTATGTTCTCGGAGCCTCCGTGCTGTGGCCAGACACTGCGGCCTCCTGACCTCCCTTCTCGTCTGTTCCTTCCCGCCTGTCGCCTTCTCCGCTTCCCACGCCTTCCGTCTCACACTGCTCGGGGCCGGGGCAAAGCGCCATTAGTTTCTTTACACGCTGCTCTAGCTCGGTGGCCCTTCATTTGCTCTAATAGGCTGGCGGTAGCCTCCTCCCGCTCACGCGACGCTCCGAGCTCTTTTTGGAGTTCTATCCTTTCCTTCCGTTCCGCCCTAAGCTCCCCCTGAAGCCCCTTGATGCTAGCCTCCATGCGCTGCACGGCCGCCTTCAGTGCCTCGCACAGCCTGCACACGAAGCTCGCCTTCTGCGCGTCGGCCAAACTCGTGAATGCTGTCTCATCTAAGTAGCACCAGCGCTTGCATTCTTCGCACTGCACGAGCTCACTCTCGCTGCACTGCACCAGCTCACTCTCGCTCGTGGTTTTCCTAGCTTCCTTAGCCATCGCACGCCCGACCACTAGCACCACATTCAGCACCATCTAGTGGGCGTTGCTAGTTCAGATGGTCGGAACATGTGGTATCCACTTAGATGTAGTGAATCATCTATTTTAAAGACAATAGTCTTTCTTGGGGACCTTCAACTCAAAAACTTTGGTCTGTCTGTCTGTACATTTGTCTGTTTGTCCACCGTTACCGCAAACCGGATACTCGAAACAACAGCAGCGGATACCTCGAACGGCCAACCCCATCCGCAGCGCCCACCAATGTTGCTCAAGAATGAGCGTTCATACGTGTGTGATTGTCAATTAAAAAGCAATTATTGCGCTTATGTGAGGCACCATAACAACACGTATATATTCTGCATGTTCATCTTTTACTAGAAAAGGCATACATAAGTAATTCTAAGGACCGTAGCGCTTATCACGCTGCACTGACCCTGCAACGCTTGCACGGAAAGGCGAGTGTTTCCAACGCTTTGCTAAGAAGACACGGGGGTGGCCCCTTCCCGTCGCCTCGCGTTCTACACCTTATCACCTCTGAGACGGGCGCGCACGCCCGCCTCAGGGCCACGCGCTTTGTTTTCCAAAAAAAATGTCAGATGGCACTCATGTCTCACGTGTGACGTGACTTGATGCGCTTATTCGCCTCCGCTACACGCTCGAGGCACTCTAGCGCAGCGCCTCTGGAATACCATTCACGGTTTTTTTTGTGCAGAACATCAAATAAATGTTTTGTTCACTCTCTCTACATGCAAGACTATCGTCTTTCGATGACATTTGCAGATTACATGCAGACACGGGGCCATTTTTTTTTGTGCTTGCTTTTCTGCTACATCATACAAGCCCTGTAGGCTGTTTTGGCCATACGATGTAGCTTGAGAAGTGTTTGTGACTTTCACTTCCTTTTTTCATCCTAATCCAGAGGGACCTTGAGGGACATGTCTGGGATGTGTACACCTGCCGTTTCTTCCCTTCTGGCGTGGTTGTTCTATCTGGTGGAGCCGACATGCAGCTCAAAATTTGGTCTGCTGAAACTGGAAAATGCCCAGTCACATTGAAAGGCCACTCTGCTGGTAATTTTTGCATGAAGTTTAGGAGCATATCCTAAACAAAATATTCCTTTTTTTTTCTTCAACTGGAGGTGGGGTGGTTATACGCTTTTTTGGCTCAGTATTCGTGTGTGACCTTGTTTTTAATGACAGAGCATTACACCGACCACAGCATAATTATAAGTGAAAGCTGCTATTGTTCCACGGCACCCTTCATTAAAGTTTGAATAACAAAATAGGCACTTACCTGAGTGGCACTTGTAGTAAGTCAGGCGCAAACATAGCTTTTGTACAGTATAAGAACTGTTGTATGTCTTATTTAAATTCGGCCATCCTCGTGCTTGCATTTTGGGTACCCAAGGTACTACAGTTTCATTGTAGAGAGGGGGATGTGTGTTGCGTTACAACAGGGTCATTAATGGGACACCTCAGGGTCAGTTATACTCTATGGGCTCACTTGTGGCGTCGTGCTCGCAAGCTTTTATCGCCACCATCATCATAGTTAGTGCGCTAGCGCCAGCAGAGATGCCTGACAGCGAGGCTAACTGGCGGCACATGAGATATCAGCGGTCCCCTTCGACGCGGGGCGGCTGGTGTGAACAGTAGTTTTCAGTGGTGAATCCGTCTGCCTGAGACCTTGTGGTGAGCTGAGCGTTGGTGATGCCGCCTTGTGTTTGTTATGTTGTTGAGTGTTGTGGAATATCGTGTAAGGTTGCTTTAACGTGTTGATCACAACTGATGTATTTTGATTCGGCTGACGGTATCATCATTCTAAAAGCAGTTAAATAAATGTGTATTTCGTTTGGTCCGATGGCGTCTGCTGTGTCTGTTTACTCCGAGAGCGGCTATCATTTATAGAGAACCTACAACTGTAAACATAAGTATTCTTTGCCTCTGCTTGTTTTCTTTAAACACTTTTTTTTAAACACTGTTTCTCAGACAAAACCGTACGAGTTTAAGTAACTGTAATGAACTAACATTGCTTTTACCGTGTAAGTGATTGCAGTAGACTCTTAATAAACAGAACCTGAAGGGACCAGTAAAATGCGTTCCGTTTAACAGGAGTTCCGTTTACCGAGAGATGAACAGGGGCTCGCAGTGGAAGAATGAAAACAATCTTGTCAAAAGCATTTGGTCCATTTAAGCAGCAGTTCGTGATCATTTAGGTGGACATAATCTGTGGTGAATTTTACACGCATTCCAAATCTGGGCGGAGGCGTTTCGTTTCATCGAGTCGCTCGTGATTGGCACATTTGAGCTGTGGGGAATGCCGTGATGTTCTATATCACATGAGCCAAATTCGGACGGAGGCGTTCCGCTCCATCGAGTTGAACGTGATTGGCCCATTTGAGCCGTGACGAATGCCGGGATTTTCTATGTCACGTGAACCAAATTCAGACTCAGGCGTACCACTCTATCGAGTCGCACGCGAATGGCCCATTTGAGCCGTGACGAATGCCGTGACATTCTATGTCACGTGAGCCAAAATGTCGCGTGTCTGTTTTCATCCGTTTCTCGGATGGAGGGGAAGGAACGGTCGGAGAGGCCTTCCGAAAAAAAAAAAAAAAAAAAACAGATGGATTGAAATGGCTGCAAGGCGGCATGGATTGGATTTAAATTCAAGCGCTTCACGCCTTTCGGTATCTGGGTACTTTGAGAGCATGGCGTCACAGCGGGCCTCATGCACTTACTATGGCTCAACACCCCCTCCATTGATGCAACCACTCCATCTGTCTCTCAGTGTCTGTTGTCGTAGACAGATGGATGGACAGACAGACACAGATAGACAGACATACGCACGAACAGTTGGAGAGACAGGCGGACGGATGGAGGATTCACGGTTTACCGTAGAAACCCAAGCTTCGCCCCATTCATCATCATTCACTCCGTCGTGTTACGATCATGCTGCGTCTCTTGCAGAGACACTGAGTGCATCCGTCACGGACACTGGGCGCGTCCTTTGCAAGTCGGAGCAAGAGGAGGCACTGGTCGAAGACACAACATGCGTTCCAAAGAGACGCTCGACGCATCTCTTTTCACATGGGTTGCATCCCACAGAGACACTGGACGTGTCTCGTTTCAATTGCGCTCAATTTGCACTCAAATGGACGTCAAATTTGTGACGCAGGCTTCCATTTCCCACATTGGCTGTTCGCTTTCCATCGTCCTCGCAACCGATGCAGACCACTCACTTTTGACATAACGAAAGGAACGCCTCCGTCCGGATATGGAACGCGTATAAAATTGCAGCACCGAGAAAGTAACCATGTGATAACAATGTGTTCTGGTAACTACCTAGTTACTACATAGTTACCAGAAGGCCTGCTTGTAAGGCCTTCAACGCATGTCAAAACTACTGCAGCCATTAACGACACCTGCATTGTGGAACAAGGCCGTAACGTCATCTCAGTCAGCAAGGACGGCACTGCCAGACTCTGGGACTGTGGCAAGTCTGCCTGCTTGGGCACCCTGACCGACACCCTGCACGACTGCATTAACTGCTGCGCCCTCGGACCTGTGGCCATCAACTTGGGCATCAGGGACGAGCAAGCCAGTAAGCTTCCTGGTCTCATACTGTCCTGTTAACTTTTCATGTTCGACAAAAATTTTGACTAAATGTTGATAATGACTATAGACATTAGAAAGTTTTCGCATAACGTTTGGGGCCCTTAAGCCCTTTGTGTGTGCTCGCTTTGGGTTGGGCAAGAGCTCATAGTTTTCTAATAGGGTCTGTGGCGCTTTGGACATTGCAACTATTCTAGGTCTCTCTAGTTTTGACCTGTAGCCATAGTTTCAGTGGATGCCGTCCTGTTAGTTTGACGCAAAGCTTTTGGGGCAGGCTTTGGCGCTCCCGCTGAATTTGAGAAATAGGTGTCGTTTTGAGAGGATGTGGCAGAAGATTGCACTCCTCTCCTTCAAAATTTTTCAGTTTTGCATGCGTGTATATGCACGCAAACATACAAAAAGCATGAACATAAATGAAGTATGGTTTGAAGCACCACTCTTGAAAAACAATTTCTAGCTACGCTATTGGCGGTTGTAGCTAGTGTTTTGGAAAGTGGATGATATTGGTTGAAACGTCAGCTTTTTTTTATCAATGATCAATCGTCCAACCCACCCTTACATTTTAGACCTTGGACATACATCTTAAGAAGTGCAAAGGAACGCTGGCACAAAAAAGAAAGATGCAGATGGATGTTAAAAGTGATCATCTCAGCATGAACAGGATAATCAACTCAGTCAGCGTGTTTCTTGTTTGTGTTAGACACAAATTTAATGAAAACCAACAGGCAGAGAAGCCAAAGAAGGTGTAAGGGATGTTAATTGTGGTCTTTTAACTGTATTGTAGTATTCATACAAATGAGGAAAAACTTAATTGGAAACGATAACTTGCTGCCAGCAATGACTGAACCTGTAACTTTCAGTTCTTTGTGTTAGTGCTCGTTACGATCTTTCACTTCTCACCGTTTGGATTTCCATCTTTATTTATTTTTAATCTGTGCAAAAACATTTCACTTGCACATAAAAGAATGTATTTGCAGTGGTACTACCTAGGGTTGCCGTTACATCGTTTACTACCATAAACTGAAATTTGTGGGGTTTCAATCAAAGACTTGTTTGGCATCTTGTACAAATCTGCAATGTTCTTACTGAGCAAGCTATAGCCTTGAAAACTAATTGTTATACACCTTACAGCTTTCAGTGAACAAATGATAATTTGTGCATGCGATTTGACGTAGCTGTGCCGATTGCTTGGAAGTGTTCACCCTTATAAGAACTCTATGTGGAGGGCATTGTCTTCTTTGTCAAAGATGGTGGCATGTTGGCTTTTTTTTTTTATATTAGGCCCAGAAATTACGGGGACTGTAAAAAAGAAGTTGGTTTCACTTAGTAAATTCTAGTTAGCAAAATGTTCTGAAATATGGGGTTGTGACACCACATTTGACATTTTTCAACAGTTTTTTTTTGTGAAATATAAATAGTGTTGTCTGGCAGAGACTAGCTGGCTTACTAATATTACTTTATGTGGAAAACTTGCTACATTATGCTCCAAATGAATAAACAGCCATGATAGAGACATAGTGCAACTCCTCGCGTGCAAAGCTGACTGAATAGCAGGCCAGATATTGATTCAGACCGACTACCCAGCCTGTCTGCCTCGAGAAATCCCTCTTTCTCTGTTGACTTAACCCTTTCAGACAGCCCCTGCGAAGAACTGTCTGTAGATGTGTCAAGTCGATGCAACATTATTTCAAAGCACTAAGTATTGTATTGCCACAAAGATAGTCACAATATGTTAAATTGTCTATATTACGGTAACTAATCCTGATTAAGTTGTAATTATCTATCTATTCTGAAGCCACTAATGCTCTGTTTTTACATAAATAGAATGAATTCTTAAGCTATAAATATAGTCCAAAGTCATTCTTAATTACGTCAATTTTGAGCAAAGAAAAAATTTTACTTTTCACATAGGGCTCGCGCAAAGCAGCATGTTGAATGATTCTTCGAACGTTGTAGTGCCTTCAGCAAAATGATCATATGAAACAGTGCGCCGTGGAATGAAGTTAATATAAGACAAATTTATTATGCAGGCACTTAAGTTAAGACAAAGTTATTATGCAGGAGGTTAAATTTAATAAAAGCTCGATGTATATTCCTTGTTCTTTGCCTCTAGTTGATACCAATAGTAAAAACAAGTGGTGTACACAATTGCATACATAGCGTCTCAACGGCTTAAAAGGGAAATATCACCCATGACTTCCTCTACTAAAAGTGTTCATCTGTGCTGAACGAATTCAGTGGGAGCGTAGAAAAAGTTGTTTACGCCATGTAGTCTGGGTAATTCTGTTAAGTGCCACGTCATTCAGGGTTTGGAAAGTGTGCTGGACTTCAGGGGGTCCTGAAACACTTCTTCAAGTAACCATGGAATGAATTCACTGGAAAAGCTCATTGCCTCACAAATTCAACACGGCAAAAATTTTAAGAATCTATCTAGTGTGAGTGGAGTTACAAAGGTCTGTCGCATGCTGCACTTGCATTCTCTCTTCTCTCGTCCCGACAAAGGCGCTGGAAGCTAAGCAGAGAGGGATGCCAGGGCTGCAGGAAAACGTCATGTGCCCCTCGTTACCTTGAGCATTTAAAAAAAGTTTTTCTACGAATTCGCGGCTTTTTCAGTGTGATCGCGCGCGTGCGCGTGTACAAGTAGCGGCGTTTTGCGGTGATCTCTGTAATGAGCGAGCGCGCCATGTTCAAATCAGCCAATGGCTGATAGATGGGCTTGCTACGTGCAATTTTTGGGCATATTCTGCGATTTGTCGAGAGAAGAGAAAGCAATTTTCAGTGATAATTTGTTGTTAATTCTAGGCTGCGTGCTGCACTCTAATATTTCGCTTGCGTGTTGTCGGGAGCCACTACTACCGATCGGCAGCGTTTTCTGACCATGCTCAAAAAGTGTTGCAGGGCCCCTTCCAGTAAATGGTAGCAGCTTGTTATCCCCTTCCTATTGCAAATGGGAGCAGTGTATAGAGTGTTTGATTACGTGGTGATTAAATGGTTTGTAAACATCACACACACCCACTAGCATGATGAATGTATTTTGGGCTTGACAGCTTGATTCTTGAGTCGTTTTGCCAGGAGAGAATTAACCTTGACGCACAAAGTAAACACTTTCGAATCAGCCCTGTTTCTAGCAAGCCACAGTCGTGGAACACACGGGCCCAGTTCATGCCGTCGAGCGAACGCGAACACATGGCACTTATGAAATGCTTTTACAACCGCAAGCTCACTAGCCAAATTTTATAAATAACTGGTAATAAGACCAATAGTCTGATACAACACCAATACAACACACAGAGATCACGACACACATTAGACAACACGAATGCCATGTCGCCGACGTCTGTGGGAAACAAGTCACGGAATTGTTCTCACGTGCTTCTCAGGAAAGAGACTGAAAGAGAAAGCACTCTTCCTCAAGCGCTAGCGTAACGTCGCCTCTTGCCAGGTGGCGCTATAATCTGATGATGATGATGATGTGGTAGCCATACCTGTTGTAACGAACTAATTTCAGTTGACTCTAGTCCAAAGATATCGAAATATATATATATATATATATATATATATATATATAAAGAAGTAACCACAAAAATGGAGAGAGAGTAAAAAAAAAAACAAAAGTAAAAGAAAAGGTAGTAGAGTGCCTTTCTATGCTCATCGCACTTCACTGTGCAACCGCTGTGCCATCTTTTGCTCGGCGGCGAACCTAACCACGGTAAGACCAATCTGTCGGATGCACGTGTGTCATGAGGCGAAAACGACTTTATAAGAAGCGATAGCATGTTGCTGGCATCATTAGTGAAAGGGAATTTAGTTACCTTGTTAGCGTGTTTAGTATCAGTCAAGGTTTACACATGGTCACATCACATCATTGAAGGAAGGATCCAGTCTTATCTCAATTGCTGCCTTCATTCATACACACTTTTGCTCACCCATCTATTGCGATGAGAGGATCAATGAAGAGACCATTAGTAGCAACGTGGAAGCATTAAATAGAGATGAGTATAGCTCGTAATATTAGTGCATGCATTGGTGTGGAGCCGACACACACAATCTCAACCTTTGAAATCTTCTTTTATTAAAAGCCCACTTCGGGAATTCCTTGCATAGGGGTCTGTCCTGCTCTCAAAACATTGGACATTATAGACTTTTTTAATGGAGAGGAGAATCCCCTCCTTTCTGGCTGTTCTGACATCACAGCTTCAGCCCTGCATTTTTGGGGGGTCATGCATGTTAGCAACAGCCCAGAGGGGCTTATGGCGGCATCCAGTGAACCTTCAGTAAAAAGATGCACGGAGAAACAATGACTTGGTGTATATTTGACAAAGTTCACTCTGAGAACTCTAATGCCTTATATTTCACTATCATAAGGTTGTTATTACTGAAGAAAATCAAGATCGAAGTTTCAAGTTTGTATTCGGGCCGAGATACGTCAAGAGTTTCGAGATGTATTTTTCATATTTTTGTGACATTAGCTTGATGAAATTTCTTGAAACTTCGTATGCTAGGGGCCTGTGGCACTCGCAGGTGACAATTTACTTCATTTTTATCTATTAGAAGCTATGTAGAATCCCATAGACTCTTTCAAAATCTATAACGTCATGGTGTTTGCTGTGCTGCAAGAATCTCAAGGTGACATCTCCACCCCGCATTTTCTTTTTGTTAAATTTCTTGTTTGCCAAATGTCGTCTCGGGCGAAAGTGTTTGTTTTTTGGAATTGTGAAATTGTACTTTACTAATATGAAAAAAATTATTGCGTTGTTTTGTCTCCTTTAAGTGAGGGCGATTTATTTCTCGCATTTCAGGTGAAAGGGAAGTGGCGACAGATGGGAAACTTCTTGTTGTGGGGACAGAAGCAGGAAAACTGAGGGGTGTGGGCGTGCACTCCAGAAAAACGGTGAGCTCGCTAATTATTTTTAACGTGTGTTTTGTTTGCAATAAAGGCCTGCATATAGGGTGCATTCCGTATGTAATGACTACCTGCAGTAACAGTTCACTTTAGCTGGCTTGTTTATAAACTTGACAACATTTAGGGCATGCAATAGTAATATAAACTTGACAACATTGTAGGGCATGTAGTAATAATATAAGTTAAACTAGTAGTACTTTTTAAATTTCGATTCTACATAACGAAGCAATGGCAATACATAGAAAACAGATGAATGACTATAAAAGCACTGTCTCATTGATTATGTCACATCTTTCGAAAGGCATCAGGATTACTGTTGCACTGTAACTAGAACTAGTACTGACTTAGCATGCTGTAAAGTTGCATGATAAGCTGTTAAATAAAATTATAAAAGCATAAATGGTGACTGTTTAATTGATAACACTGGGAGGACCATTTAGCAACGCCATAAGCCGCGATAAACTAATAAAAAAGGTTTGGAATGAAGACTGTCATGTGCAAGACATGGGCCGTTAGTGAAGGTCAGTGGGCCTCATGATTGAGACCACTGCCCTATAGTTATAAAGAATTTTCAGAGGTCTGATAAAGTAACTAGAGGAAGCTAATAGCGGAAACTGTTATAGTTTGTGTGTTATAAACAGTAATTGAGAGCCAGCTTTCTCATGGCCATAGTTGTTGTATGAGGTACAGTAAAACCTCGTTCGAAGTCACTGGGGCTCCGAGAAATTTTCGAATTAGGCAGGTTTCAAATTAACCGAACATTCGAAAAGTGGGATGCAAGGAACTTGGAACTATTCAAAGTAATCAGGGCTTGTCGTTTGCTGTGCCGGCAAGCTTGGGGCTCCATGGTTATGTGTTCCAGCAATACATGGTCTTAATTTTGCCAGCAAACACGGGGGAACGGTGGGCCTTGCTGCTGCCACCAAAAGAAAGAAAGAAAGAAAAAAATTGGCCCTGTATCTCCATGATTTGATATGATCCGTCATCGAAAGAGGATAGTCTTGCATGTGGAGAGAGCGAACAAAACGTTTATTTGATGTTCTGTCGAGAATATCAGTGAATTGTATTCTGGAAGCCCTTCCTTGGAGAGTCCTCGGTCCTTGCAGCGAAGGCGAACAAGCGCATCGAGGCACGTTAGACACACGCTATCTGGCAGTTATCTTCGAAAACGAAGGAAGGCAAGCGCGCCCCGAGAGAAAGATGCGCGCCTGTCTCGGAGGCGATAAGGTGTAAAACGCAAAGCGATAGGCAGGTGCCACCACCCGTGTTGTCTTAGCATTGGAAACGCTTGCCCTTTTGAAGCATCCCGTTGCAATGTCAGCCCAGCATGATAAACACTACGGTCCTTAGAATTACTTATGTGTGCCTTCTCTAGTATAAAGACAAACATACAAAATATTGACGTGTTGTTATGCTGCCTCAGAAATGCGCAATAATTGCTTTTAAATTGACAGTCACACAAGTATAAACACTAACACTTGAGCATAATTGGTGGGCGCTGCGGATGGGGTTGGCCGCTTGAGGTATGTGCCGCTTGGAGTATCGTAACAGCACACAAAAGACAAGTGTACAGGCAAACAGACAGACAGACCAAAATTTTTCGTCGAAGTACCCCAAGAAATACTATCGTCTTTAAAAAAACACTGTCGTAAGCAATGAAATGTGTGCCTGTGGAAAATAAGACATCTTCACTGCAACACAGAAGTGATATGCGGGCAGTATGTCGCCTGCTTGTCGCTCCGTCATAACGTCATTATAAGACCATTCGCACATTCTTTCTGGTATTACTGGGAACTCAGTAATGGCCAGTATGACAAACGAAACTGGCGATGTGTTATGGCTGGAAAAAATGATCTTCGAAACATTCGAAGTTTGTTTTAGAAGTAAGTACTGCTGGCAGGAACTCCGCCAGCAGTGCAAAGGCGCGAATCCCTGGAGCAACGGGCAAACGGAGGTTCGCATACATAGAAAATTCCGTCAAACTGTTCATTATTAATTTCTTCACAATCCCAGAAAGAATGGGTAAACCATGACCCGCTGACGTTGCGAGAAACATGCGATTTGCCGCCCGTGGGTCACCTCTGTGTTGCACTGAAGCATGTCTAGTTTTCCGCAGGTGCACTTTTGGTTGACCACAAGGCCGTTTTTTTTTCTCGCTTGAAATAGCTAGGCTGCACTGCTTCAGCTACCAGGCATTAGTATCGCCACGTTGCATTGCCTTGTGGCTATTAAAGGCAGTCATTTTTGCGTATTTGCGGCGATGTCGGGATCTAGAACTGGCACATGGCACCCAACGTTTTCAAACTAACCGGACTGGGGCCGGCCGCAGCTTCAAATTATCCACTCAAACTTGCATTGCAAAATACGGGACTGCATAAATCCTTTGATTAAGCGGGATTTCGAAATAACCAAAAAATAAAGTTTGAATTATGAGGTTCTACTGTAGTTTTAGTTCTCAGTGCTCACTTACAGCAACTAGATTGGGTGATTAGTACATACACATAGAGGGTGATGTGGATAATGAGTGTAAATGTATATATAACTCTAGTATTTTATAACACTTTAATAGCCTGCAAATATGTGATTATGCATAATTACTGTCAAAAATTAGCTCTCAGCTAGTTAGTGGATAACTATGCTATTAAAGTTACGCATTTAAGAGTTGGCAAATATGTAATTTTATAAATTGAGCAACTTTTGGACAATGTCTAAGCAGATGATGCGTGAATTAGTGTGCGGGGGTTATGAACAACATACGAAACCATGACTGCCGAGGAATTTTTTCACTCTGGGCACAGCCTGGGCTGTTAAACTGTGTTAATTAAAGATCTGTGCTGTTTTTAATGTTGCTGGCTGTTTCATATTCTGGTGAGTAAGTTTTTCATTGTTTGGTATCAAAAAGAATCTTCATTCGTAGGTTGTCATGAGACATGCACAGCCTTTGTGCAAAACTAAAAATTTTCTCGAGGCTACTTGTAGTACTTGCTCTCTGAGCTTACGCCATCCAAGATTTCATTTCAGTTACCCAGAGGCACAAGTTTGTGACAGTCCTATACTGTTATGATTTCAGTGCTGTTTGGCATCACCATTAGGCATGCCCACATTATCGAAATACGAGATCGTTCAGTTATGGGCCTCCGCCACACATCAGAGCACTACATGTGAGGTAGGACTAGTTATAAAGGCATTTCATAAAGCATATATTCCTGAGAGCCCTTGGGGTACTAGAAAACCTCAAATGAGAAGGCTGAAGCAAATAAATATAGGCAGTCAAACCGCGCAAAACATGAAACTTGCTCCTTCTGCGCTCCTTCGGATTATGATTTAGGTTGGCCATGATGAGCTAGAAGTGGGTTACGAGGCCATGTAATCATCACTTAACAAAACTAACTCATGCAGACAGCGAGATGTATTGTGCAACTCTTCTTTTTTTCTATTAAGGAATGCTTGTCATATTTCATATTTTACTTTTTCATAAACAGTGCGATTATGGGCACAGTTGGAATAATTTAGCCATAAAGTGAACAACTCTTTACTTGTGTTTATCAAAGCACGAAGTGGTTTAAAGCTTGCTGAAAAGGCTGAGCGATAAAAGATTCCTGGTGGTAAAAAGGTCGTTCCGTTGCCCGTTCTTTTTCTTATGCAGGTGTTCGAGCTTGATCATCCAGCAGCCATTAACTGCTGCTGCTTCCTTGGACAAAATTGCTTTCTTTTCGGGACACAAGATGGAACTGTTTCTGTGATTGATGTGAGGCAGACAAGGTGAGATCAGGTGACCCAAATAACGACAGCGTAGTACCCAAGAACAGATTATTTCATTCTCCTCAAAAATTTGAAGCTGTTCGTAATACTTTCAATAGTATAGGACCAAGTAGCCATGTCTTTAAAACGTTTCTGAGTCCGAGTGATCATGTAAACATCTGCTGCCCAGCTTCCCATTTGCAGTATTGAATGTGCTTCATCATTATTTTTGACAGGGAGCCTTCCATCACTTGGAAAAATTCATCATCTGCAGTGTTGTGCCTTTTGCCATACAAGCAGGGTTTTATGGTTGGCAGAGGTTAGTATCTTCAGTTTGTCGTGGCTAACCTTTTCCTTTTTCGTCTAAGTGTGTATATCGTAAGTGTTCAGCAAGCTATTAGGAGTTGGAGGCTGATGAAGTGTGAGGGCCGTTATTTTTACAGTTAGGAAAGTTTACAATTTGTGTGTACCGTTCATTGTAACCTAAGCTTCTTGAGAAAAACTTCAGTATGTTGAAGTCTCAACCTTTGCAAAGAAACAAACTTATAGGCTCTATAGCATGTCTACCTTTGCGAATTTTTGAAAAAAATCTGGCTTCGTCGCAAGATGTAGGCTTCATTTTAAACTATGCCAATAACCTCTACAGATATTATTGGTGCCTTGGAGTGTTATTTCAGGTCAGTTGTTACTGGTAATTCCTTTCCTGCTTTCACAGTAAAAGCATAACATATAGTTTGCAGCAAACCAAAATTTAAAATTTATCAAGGCTGTTAATCTGTGTGTGGCTCCACTGCTGTGGTTTTGTGGCTAAGGTACTCGGCTGCTGACCCGCAGGTCGCGGGATCAAATCCCGGCTGCGGCGGCTGCATTTCCGATGGAGGCGGAAATGTTGTAGGCTCGTGTGCTCAGATTTGGGTGCACATTAAAGAACCCCAGGTGGTCAAAATTTCCGGAGCCCTCCACTACGGCGTCTCTCATAATCATATGGTGGTTTTGGGATGTTAAACCACACATATCAATTATTAATATGTGTGTGCATACATTGTGATCACTAAATCTGAATGAATGTTAGGTAATCTCATTTTAAGAACTAAAGATTGCATTATTCAATTCGAGTGGTTGTATGGCCATTACTAGATATAACTGTTACCAAGTTCAGACTTTTGCAGTGACATGCAACCAACAAGAATGTGTGTGTTTGATTCCACATGGAGATGACATGGAAGTCAATGATTTTATCCTCCTTTCACAGCCGACGGCTCTTGCAACTTCGAAGCTCTGGTGGGTGCAGAGTCTTCAGTCTGACTGGACCAGACTGTGAACCTGTGTACAGTGTGGCGTATGATGGGGAATCGTTCTACACTGCCTGCCGAGACGGCCTGATCCGGAAGTACAGGGGTGCCCAAGTCGTAATGTCCATGCCTGCTGCTAGTCGTTACAGTGACCTGTCAGAGAGGGAAGATATACTGACGTGTTTTAAAACATTTCCGTATAAAAGTCTTGGCCCCTGTCAAGTACTTGTTGCTTTGTTTGTTCAGATCTCGCTAATTCTTACAGTGATATTCGCATCTTCTGCTGGGTTCCGGCAACAGTGGCAAGGGGTATACCAGGACACAAGAATGAATATTTTGCAATACCAGCAATTGTGGCAACATCTTTAAACTCTGTGATACCATGCCAGAGGCACTGTCTCATTTGAGTATTCTTTATGAAAAAGCATACGCACAAGGATTTCTGCGTGTTTACTTTATAGTAAAGCAAGCTTTTCAACCCACTGACGAAATATGGTTGATCACCACAGTATATGTTTTAAATAAAAGCAGTTTACTTAACCCCTTTCGTGTCACTATTGTCTCAGTTACTGGCCAAGCATGGCTAACTTTTTTAGCGCATTATCTCTTGTGAAAAAACATATTCTTTTGACATGATAACACAAACGCACTTCCTAGAAGTGCACCAACTACAATAGACCCTCGGTAAAATGAATCATTGCTTCAATAGAACAACTGCTCCTATTATGACTGATTTTGTACTTGAATAACCGATTTTGTATCTGAATAATAGAATAATCGCTCTGGAAGCGTAGACTCTTTGGGGCTGCAGCGCATCTGTTTTGATGAATACGAACTTGTCCTTCCGTGCACGCTGTGCCGTGAAATACTTTTCATCCCAGAATGACATCACTGTCCGTTGTTGTGGGCCGTGTTTGCGCCTTCTGCTGCCAGAACTAGTCTAGTGACAACCGAAAGCTCTTTATGATACCACCCGTTGAGGGCAACAAGTTGCGACAAAATACATAGTTACATAGAATCGAAAGTGAGAATTTCAAGCGTACATTTTCGAATCCACTTTGCGAAGTAAGTTGTGCGTCTCTCATTATGAGTATGGTTCGATGTTTGCTCAATTCAAGGCCTGCTCTAATGCCGTAGACAAGTTGCAGTTAATTGTGCAGGACGTGAGATCTCACACTCGGGTTCATTTAACGCTTCTGCGGGGGCTGTTTTTTTTTTTTTTTTGTCAACAATACATGCTTACGTGTGCTGCTTCTCGGTATTCACCGACTGATTTGAGTTCGTGTGTACTGGTTTGTGCACTTTGAATGTATGCGGAAAGACGCTTGAAATTGTGATTGCGAAACTGCTGATATTTCGCGTTGCTGTTTTGAATAAACAAAACTGGAGTGCCGCAACTCACATTAAGATTGGTACTCCCCGTTGGTTTTCGTTGCGTGCTCGTATATGTCAGAGCAAATTGCTCTCTGTGGCTCTTTTACCTTGACCGATCAACCAGGGAACTCGCGATGCGAGGGCAGCTATGCAAAGCGTGCATGCCTTCGAGTGATTGGGTGCGTGTATCGTTTAGGGCACCTCACCCTTACGTGTCATCTCACGTGATAGTTTATTTGCTATTTTGTGTGATGGTTTACATCTGCCAGTGGAGCTATCGCGATGTAGTTGCGTACGGTGGCGCGCTAGTTCCAGCTCATTCTTTCAGCGATATAGTTAGAATGGGAGATACATCCACAAGGCACACTTCCGAAATATTATTGGTGCGTCTAACCTCTTCACGAAACAACCACAGCTGTTTTAATATATCAACTGTGTGCATCCTGACACATTATTAAGGCCTTAGATGCCTCAGCAAACACTAAGATTGGCCGTCATTGATATCGCCGTTTTGTTGCTTTCACTGCATGACAGTTACTGTGAATGCTCTCTGCACGAATTGTGTACCCTATATACGGCGGAGCTTGCATCACCCATGCGCTGAGTAAGAAAAGACAGTTGCACGGTCCCTTTGGGCGCTATCCCGCCAGCTAACAGAAAGGTAAGCCATAGCAGCCGCACATGAATGTTTGAGCGATGTTATTTACAGTGTAAAGCTTATTCGGAGACGTGCTAAGCGATAGACCAAGACGAAACAGGGGTTCTCACTAACGATCACATTTTTACGTTAAAGAACATAAAGGGTGGTGCGCACGAAGTTAACATCCGGTCACTGCGACACCGAGTGACTCGATCAAGGCTTCATCACAAGTTTGCGTTGCGTGTGGCACTAAACAGAGCTAATGTGGGCTAACGCTACACTCGTTGAGATAATTATAGGGTGAGTTAGACGGCTGGCGCGAATGCTCTCAGCACGCTGCCTGCCGCAGGCAGCGGTTTGTCTGTCTGTACATTTATCGGTTTGTCCGTCGTAACGATTTCCCAAGCTGCACCAAGCGATACCCCAAACGGCCAACCCCATCCGCAGCACCCACCAATATTACTCAAGTTTCAGCGCTCATACTTGTGCAATTGTCAATTAAAAGGCAATTATTGCACATATCTGAGGCACCGTAACAACACGTCAATATTTTGTATGTTTGTCTTTATACTAGAGAAGGCACACATAAGTAATTCTAAGGACCGTAGTGTTTATCATGCTGGGCTGACATTGCAACAGGATGCTCAAAAGGGCAAGCGTTTCCAATGCTAAGACAACACGGTGGTGGCACCTGCCTATCGCTTTGCGTTTTACACCTTATCGCCTCCGAGACAGGCGCGCATCTTTCTCCGTGGGCGCGCTTGCCTTCCTTCGTTTTCGAAGATAACTGCCAGATAGCGTTTGTGTCTAACGTGCCTCGATGCGCTCGTTCGCCTTTGCTGCACAGATCGAGACTCTCTATTGCAGCGCTTCCAGAATACAATTTACCGATTTTCTTGCACAAAACATAAAATAAACGTTTTTGTTTACTCTCTCCACATGCAAGACTATCGTCTTTCGTCAATAATTGCAGTGAAACACGCAAATAGGGGGCAAAGTTTTTCTCTTACATCGGAGCCTCTTATATAGGGGTTTGACTAATTAAGTAGTCCCGCTCATTCACTTGGCAAGGACCTTTGAAAGCGAGCTCACCATACCGGCAGTCCGGCTTATGAGGTCAGTTTGGAGAGCGTACTTACTAGTGCAGACTTCTGTTGCATCCACCTTTGCGTAGGAAATGTCGTACAAGTCTGGAGACACTATTTTTAATTTTCGTTTGTGGAATAGAACTGAGGGCTATGTTTACAAAAGTGGTTGAAAACTACTTTTCTGAAATCGTCTGATGCATTGCCGAGGCTAGCTTTTAATTGTTTGTTTGTGGAATGTGTCAACAATCATATATAATTCAATAATAAACATTCAAGTGACATAAATGTGAACATGATCTCAAGGGCACTGTTTACTTCAGAGATATGCTAAGAGTACAAATAGAAAAAAAGACAAAACATAAACACAAATGCACTCGTCGCGTTCACAGCAAGGCATTACTGATTAATGTTCAAGAACGCCATCTCGATGATAAGATTGACAAACCTGTCTGTAACTTCTGGCATAGCCAGAGCTAGACACCCTGTTGCCAGCACGCTTCTTAATTTCTTCACTATGTTTCACTTCCTCCAGCTTGTACTACCATCTCACAGAAGTGCAGTGTTGGACTCGCATGAGATCAATTGATTTGTGGCATTACGAGCAAGTAAAAAATCTGTTCAACTGAGCTGGCCCTTAGCATTTTTTTTTTTGCTATGAATGGGTCTCTGAACTGAGAGTGTCTGTGACATATAGTAAGTTAAAACATGCTTAGAAAAGTTAAAAGACTGCAAAGTATCTGGAGGCTACTAGAAAAAGACCACTGGTATCCCATCTGCACTTTTCCATTTAATAACTTTGTCATATCCACTTGCCCAAGCTTTCACTTTACCAGTGTAAACGGTGTTATGCGATATAATTATTAGCATTACACTCGACATGTTCTCCGCAGGCTGCAAGATCAAATGCTGGCTGCAGTGGCTGCATTTTCGATGGAAGTGAAGATGCTTGAGGCATGTGTGCTTAGATGTAGGTTCACGTTAAGGAACCCCCAGGTGGTCAAAATTTCAGGGACCCTCTACTACAGCGTCTCTCATAATCATATAATGGACCCCAAATATTATTATTGTTATTGATATGTTCTCTTTTGCTCATTGTTATCTAATAGTGTATCTGATAGGCTGATGCTACATGTTTCCAACATGTAAACTGTCCTAATAAGCTGTACTGTACCCTGGAACTCATTTTTCTTTAAACAGTTATGAAGTACCTCCAACTTCTATAAAAAACATGCTATATGGAGAACATTTTGGAAACTCGAGATGCTTGTGTTCTTTGAGAGTCCTGCATGCGGGAGAATGCCCGACCTATTATTAGTGACGAGCGTTGCCTATAAGATATTTTAATTTGGTTTTGAAGTAAGGGTGCGTGCTCGTCCAAGTATTCAGGCTGCTCTCAAGGTAGCTCTGGCTTCTTACGCCAGGAATGAATTTCTTTTTTTCTGAGGAGAACACGCTCAAAGCACCCACATCGTTTTATTCTTCACCAGCCGCGGGTCCCCCAATTTGAAAACAACGCATTCAGCATCACTGAAGCTTGAGCGCACGTAGTCTCGGGTGTTGCCCCGCTGTGGGGCGCTGGTTTCTTATGGCATTTAGGCGGGCGTTTCGAATTGACGCATAATCATTTTAAATTAGCAATGCTAGCATAAATTACACAATGTGTTAGAACATTTACGATTCGATTTCGACATTAACATACGCAAAGCTACAAATCCCCATAAAAACAAGACTTTCGCTGTCACGGCCGGCCCTTCAAGCGATGAGCCTGAGCGGTTCCACATGAGTAATATTCTCATGAGTTTGTGTTGGGTTGAGAAAAATTTAGTGAGTCTGAGTTCGAGTCAATTTGGTTGAGGAAATCTTTGATGAACCTGAGTCAAAGTGAGCCCTAACGACAAAATATTTTATAAGCGAGTCTGAGCGAGTTCCACATGTTTTTCTGATTTATGGTTCATGGTAGCACTAAGAAGGCTAATGCTAAAGAATAGGATGAAAAGTCTGCAAAATGAAGAGCTGTGTGGGGTGGTTCTCATCATAAGGAAACGGACAAGCTCTTAGAAGCATTTTGCATAAAAGAAAAGGAGTAATATGCTTGAGAGCATATATTTACTACACTGAAAACACTTTGGGAGCATACTTTGTTTCATTGTGTGATTCCTTTGCAAAAAAAGTGATTAATCTGCATATCTGTAATAGTAGCCTAGCTGGCTGCATAGAAACCTCTTTGTTGTGAGTTGACGACATCGACGCAAGTGCTGTGGTGGAAGGTAACCATCAAACTCGGGAACAGTGGGCAATGGCAGTGTAGGGGGACTGTTCATTTCTAAGGGCTGTGGGTAGACCATCGGTCACTCCAAAGCTCTTATGACAGCACCTGCATCTCGAAGTGTTATAGCTGTTAATGTCTAGCAACAAACGCACCGTCAAACTCTGGTGCACAAGTGAAAATGCTTCAAGTGTTATTGGCAAATGTCTGAACACCTCTGGAAGGGAGGGTAAGCTTTATTAGAAAAAGCATTCAGCCTTTCAATGTAGCCAATGCTTTTGTGGACATAAAAATTCAGACCCGAACACCCAGGAAAGACAAAAATACATATTAATTTTATAATAAGCCATGCCTTTTTTTACCTTGAATGATTTCTAATGTGTTTGCGAAGAGTTGTCGAGTGATCCAGTAATGTTCACTGTTTTTCTTGTAAGACTAGTTGTTCAAGGCCTCGTAAATATGTAAAACACAACATTTGCATGCAGTGTGAACTTTGAAAGTAGTCTGAATGTAGAGGCAGAAGCCAGCAATCATTTCATCTTCTCTAACTTGTCTTTTTGTTATTGTGAGGCTGGTGGCGTAGCCTATATTTTATTTCAGAGTGAGGGTGTGCTATTCAACATGGCCGTATTACTACTAAAAATACTAAATATCATTAGAAATGGCAGCTTACTAAAAGCAGCTATGCCAAATTGGCAATAATTGTGAAATGCAAAAATTTCTCATCCATGTATGCGTAAATTTTATTTACACACGAGGGTTTCCCGACCTGTGGCCTTCCAGCAACATTATTCAAAGATTTGAAATTGGATAAGAGAGTTTTCCGCATGCCTGCTCCATATCCATACTTGCAGTTTGGCAGTAGGATTAACTTGTCTTTGGTAACCTATCCTTTATTAGCGAATTTTTTATGCCCTAAGGGAAGCGGACATGCAATATTTTAATCAAAGGGTTTTGGGAGCATAATTAGTAATTTTCTCAAAATAAATACTTACAACAATAAAAATAATTTAAGCCCTGTAATTTCACTGCTGTCACATGTGGCATGTATGTAACATACAAACAAAAGCATTGGGGGGTGGGGGTGCAGTTTGATTTCCCTCAACCCACCGTAAGGTTACACGTATGTGTGAAACCAAGTACTTCATTTGCAGAGCATTTAGCTTGCATACTGTTAAAAAGGTACTCATTTACATGTCTGTGCATCAACCGGAACGGCACACAGACACATCAATGTAGACATCTGTGTTAACAAGTGTAAAGATTACTCGATAACTTCCGACTATACTTGCAGCCATTATTAGCCCTTTTCATAGAATAAAAATATTTAGGGTTCCAATAGTTGCAACTGAGCCACTCTTTAAAAGAAAAAGGTGGTCTTGTAGTGACTATGATGATTAGAAAACGTGAAGAGCAGTTAATAGCATTATACATATAGCAAGCAAAGTTTTTACATCTGCAGTGCATGATTTGAACAGAGCTGCATACGTTGTACAAATTTTCTGACATATATACCAGGCCATACCTTCAAAATACCTTGCGATGCATGGCCTTGCATGCATGTGTACACACGCACGTGCACACACACACACACACAGCCATACGTAACTGAACCTTTGCAAGTTGGTTGAACCCACATCAAACGTTTACGGTACACAGAGATAAGCAAAAAAAGATAAAATTTCCACCTCACCTGGAAAACAAGTTTCAACCTGTAGCATTTTTTTCCCCTACCTACATGGTTATCCATCACGTCGGAAGTGTTACGAATTAACCGAGTGGAAATCCAGGTTCACTGTATCGCCCACATCCTGTGAAGTTTTGTCACCACGTTCACATCTGTACAAGCGCTATGCAGCTGCCGTGAAGGCCGCACAGCTGGCGATAACATCATTTTCAGTTAAAAGCAGCGTCGAATGGCGTTTTTGCTTTTAGAAGCGTGTTTTCAGGCTGCATTAGAGCATGTCAATTTTATGCTACTGTCAAAGCTTTGACATTCTGCATATGACTGCTTCAATTGCTGTAGGAGTGCATTTCACAACACTGGCACAAGGTACTTTTTATTGAAAAACTCTCTTGATGGAAAAAATATGAAGTGTGACAGAAAACAGACTAGGTATCTATGTATGTTGACCAGCAGAATAATGTTGTAGGACAAAAAAATTGTCACGGAAAAATTGAGTTTTGGTGCTATGCAGGTGCAGTCATCTGTCATTTTCTTATATAATGATGGACATATTGTGAAAAAAGTAGCCGGTGCTTGTCTTGAAAGGAAGTTACTCCGGATCAACGACCTTGCTGAAGTACTTCAGTTTCTCCGATGGAGTAGGGATGATCTGTAAGAGAGGAAGGAGAAAAATGTGCACAGTTCCTTCAAACTAGAAACAATTCCAGGCTGTATACACCAGTAATGCCCTTCATAATATTGACGCTCACTTCACTGCGTAAGCTCGAAACTGGATGTTACATTTAAAACAATGAACTGGCATTCGATCAATAAATATATCACATGTTCTGCATTAGCACTTCAAATGCCATAAGCAACAAGTATACAAAACTGACACAATGCATTCATTATAAGCTGCTGTGTGATGTATAATTAGGGCTTTTCGTTTTTGAATAAATAAAAAAATGCAATCAACACTTGCCAGTGAACTTTTCACCAATTGTTTAACTCTAATTGTAATGGCCAAATGACCCTCTTCTCCTGTTTATAGTAAGAATATGTTCTAAGCGGTCAATGGTACTTCGGCCCGACTACGCCCACTACAGGGCAAAGGCCTCTCCCCTGTTCCACTAATCAACCCGGCCCTGTGTTTGCTGCTGCCAAGAAACACTCGCACTTCTTGATCTTATCTGCCCGCCTAACTTTCTGTCTCCCCCTTGTGCGTTTGCCTACTCTTGCAATCTAGTCAGATGCCCTTAATCACTAGACATTATCTTGCCGAAGCACTGCATGCCATGCCCATTTACCCCAAGTCATCAGTATCTTACATATCAGCACAGAGCGAGAGACCAGGACCCCCGAAAGTGCAAGACTACATATACGGTCCACTCTCTGCACTGGGGTGTGCCAGACCACATAAAATATGCGGACCTTGTAGAGTTTTCTCAAGTCTGCTAGAAGAAGGTTTAAGGTTCTGGTAGTATGCTCAAACGTAGGTGCTTTGAACTCAAGTATTTGTGCTTGCGTGCATTTGTTCTTGCATTCAAGCCTAACAACTAAAATATGCTTCATATTACAACATTCAGAATAAAGCAAGATTGAACTCCGAATTTCGGAGCATTAGAGATTTCCAAAACGCAAACTTTAACAAATGCCAAATTTGCGACAGGAAAATAAACTTCAAAAAGCACTCTCCGAATTTCAAGAAAGATTCCGAAAATGTGGAGCCTATTATGACATATACGTTATATGATACTGTATGATAACCAGAACAACATGCTTTAAGCCAAAATACTCGATCATACATATTGTCACATTCATATGTTCAGATATTTAAAATTTCCTGTCATATTTATGAATTTGGGTTCAAGTTAGAAATTTACTAAAATTTCATCAAACTTTATAAGAAAGGTGGAGAAACTTCTCACAACCTTCAAATAGCTTTTCAGTCGCCTAGGTACCTTGAATGGCTTCTGATTATGAAAGAACATCGGAGGAGTGCCAGCCCCGACGAACTTTATTGACAACAGAGCCATTGTAATCTTGAAAAGTTATGTTGCTTTCCCATTAGCCGCTGCCTCCGAGTTTAACCTGACTGGGAATTGCTGTTACTGACCTGCAAATGTATTCCATCAAAGGTGGTGCGCTAGGCAAACTTGAAATAATTCCCCGCAAGCATTTCCAAAGCGATTTCACGAATTTTAATACTTGCACAGGTTGGCAAAAATGCCAGTCATTTAGGCTTCTCTACATCCACTGCATGTTGCAGCGACAGTTAGCCAAAATAATCTGTCACTCAGCTCTTTATTTGAATAAGAACCTCAGGTTCCTTTACTACTGAGGGTTGTCAGTGGTAAAAGGAACCCGTCTTCATTCTTCTTGATAATTAAGGCACTGATTTATTCACACTTAACGAGCCACACCCAAGTTTCCGTACCGTATCTCCGCCAGGCTTCCACCCTGCAGGACAGACTTCTCCGTGCTTGTCGGTGTACTGGAAAGCCTGCACCAATCGTAGTGTCTCGTCCACAGATCGACCCACTGGCATGTCGTTCATGGTGATCTGGCGAAGGTTGCCCTTGTCATCAATGATGAACAGACCCCTGTAAAATTTTAAATGCACCGTTAATATCAAACGCTGTCGCACAAAATATGCACAACACTTAGTAGCATGTACACTGACCTCAATGTGTGCCCGAGGTCCTCTAGGTAGACACCGTAGTCCTTTGAGATCTGGTGAGTGAGATCAGAGAGCAGTGGGATCTTGATAGGTCCGAGGCCACCTTGTTTCCTTGGTGTGTTGATCCTATAAAAGGCACGAGAGAATATATTTCATGTGTCGCCAATCCAGTCGTCCGTATTCTATTTCCCCATACCACCAATTTCTTCAAGAATAACAACACAGACACACAATAAAAATCTAAACTATGCCAAAATCACGTTCAAGATATTTGCCAAGTAAACAAGGCTGAAAATCACAAAAAGAAAAGCCACATCGGTGTTCTTGTTTGTAGAGAACATCCGAGAACGTCGCCACACGTCACAACAATGAACACAATGCGAAGTACATTTTATTCGTCAAACCACAAACTTGGGGCACGATTTCCAGAATCTCGAGACAAGTGACGAATAACACGGCACTTACCATGCAAGATGGGTGAAGGGCGAGTCAACAGAACACGCCACTACTTCCGCGTTCAGCGCCTTGAATTCCTGGACGCGATCACTGAATGCAATGATCTCCGTAGGACAAACAAACGTGCTGCAACGAGAAACGACCCACAGCATCATTTGGCATCGGATCACTTCAATGAGGCAAAGTCGCCGCAGTTCAGTTTGCATATTATTTACTTACAAGTCCAGCGGATAGAAGAAAAACACCAGGTACTTTCCCTTGTAGTCCGAGAGTTTGAGCTCTTTGAACTCTCCATTAACCACGGCGGTTCCGGAGAAGTAAGGAGCCGGCTTAGAAACTGCAATAAAAGATAACGAAATTAGGTTGCTTTTACGTCATCCACCAATGCACATCTCGAAATGAACACCGCAAGCGCTGATAAATGCTTGCAACATCAGCGGCTTCGCACGAGCACCCGAGCACTGCTACAAACCTTGCCGACTACGTGTACTACATACTTGCAACGACGTGGGCGCTTGTTGGTGCATTATTGAGCATTCTAATAAGAACATGACGTGGTCTGAAACGTGCAGTCTTACGTGAGATCGCAGCGTGCCGCGAAGAGCACGCGCACGTTTTTCGAACGCTGATGCCGGCATCTAACACGTCACGTATACTCACTTTGGGTTTTGCTCCAGTGGAGGTTATGCGCCGAAGATTTCGTGTTCTCTTGCGGGTAAACTTGGCCGCCGCCGTAAGAACGACACGCTTCCTCGGCGCAGGTGATCAGTTGTGGACCGATCGTTAATGCGACCAAGAACCACCTCCAGCAGCTTGCCATCCTTCCTGTTTGCTACTCTACCGGTTCGCTACTGCTCTCCTGCCAACTTGCCAATCCCGCGCGCGAGAAGGAACACTGCCCTTTCTATCTCCCATGCCTTCCCGCTGCCGGAAGAGGGCGTCACAACATCAATAAGATTGGCGCGCTTTTTTTAAAAATAATTTACACGAGGGCGAAAGGATGTGTCAGCGGTTTGCAGCGAGAGATCAGAGTAGGAGTCCGGAGACACAAAAACGACAAGTACCTTTGGGACCATGCTTTTGCGCCTTGGTATACTTATGGCCTCACATGCACCACATTGCTCACAAGCAGTCGCTCAAACTTTTCAGCATATCAGCAAGGACGGCGCCAGAATTTTTCCCAGGGGGGGGGGGGGGGGGGGGGGGGGGGACAGACAAATAATCAGGGGATCTTCAGCCCCCCTAGATTAAAAGATTCGTTCAGATGATGCAGGAGTGTAAGAATGACCAGCTCATTTAAGAGGTAAGATAATATGGTTGTCTCTGAAGAAATAAGACAAAAAACCTATGTGCACGAGCATTTATACTTCACTCTCCTTAACTACTTGCTGCAAATATGCGCATGCGCTACAAAGCAACAGCATTAATTTTAGCCTAATCCATATAGCGATGTCAGACCTTGCAGTTAGGTTCATATGCCATGCACATATTTTTTGCATCACTACTACGAACACCAGCTGTGCTAAATTCACATTTAAGCAGTCACGCTGATATCTTGACAGTAAATTAATTGAAATACCATTGCCCAGTTGTTAAACAAATGTAAAATAGAAGCCAGCTGCCTGAAAAAATGGTCATTTGACCCATACACAGTATATAATGCATAGTTTACTGCTGAAACATAATGCGGCCTTTTTTGAAGGATGGAATGAGGCTTTAGAGTGTGCCCTTTTTTCATGTTGTGCTCTTAGGATGATGACAGTAGTCCATTGTGCTCAAATGCAACCATAAAATGCATTAGTCCAAATGAGATATATTTTTATGTTCTTTAATTTCCTAGGTCTGAAGAGAAAGTATGAAGTCATTAACTTCTAAATATTGTTAATAGTTTATCTTTATTTTTATTAATTTTAGCGTGCATCCTTCTCAAAATTTAAGTGTAGCTTAATGTTTGCCTTGTGTTAAGCCTTCTTGAGTGACTGATGTGGTATTTGCTCACGTGAAGCTTCATAGTTCAAAACAAATAAAAAAAATTAAGACAATTTTCTAAGTTCATGTTACTGTTATTATACACATAATGAGAATAAAATAGATGCACATTTTTTGAATATTATTGAGGTGAACATTTTTATGTTGTTGGCAGTTTTGCTTTCTTTGTTAATGTGCAGACAAAGAGACTAGTAGTAGGGCTACAGACAAAGATAGTGACAATAATGATGTGTTGGAATTAGCACATCGCACAGCTGGTCAGGCTGTTTTTACCTCTTTCTTGTCATTTGCCACACAAATTTTCACCTGGAAATTCGTTTTCAGGTAACGTGTAACATTCATGTGTTCCTTTCTATGCTATGGGTATAATGACATGAGCTTTACTACATCTCCAAAGCTAAATATAGAAATGAGCCCACATGATAAGCCACCAATGTTATCTTGTCTATTTACAACGCATACAATGCATCACAACGTAAAGTCAAAGGGCTCAAACTGTTTTCGAAATTCAGCCACCATCGCCACTTCCTCATCTCTAGACATTTTGCAGTCTTTCCAGTCTGCTTTGTCCGGCAGATTAAGAACTTCTTCACAAGCCAGCACTTCCCTGCCGAACTGGAGAGGAAAGTTCTTCTTAATCCTATGCAGCAACTTGGTGTTATCAAACTCCATGTAGAAGTAGGGCCGCCCGGGGTCCACAATCTGGCGAAGGCTCGAGTTTCGGGGTATTTCGTCTAAGTCTACACCGAGCGACATGCCGTAGTCCACTAGCACGGACTGGAGACCTAACATCAACGGCTCGGGCACAGGCACGACCTGGATCTGCAGGTGGGAGCTCTTATAGTTCCTTTCGAAAAAGACAGGTCGCTTATTCTTTGATTTGAAGTACTGCTTCAAGCTTTCCTTGAACTTCACGACATCTTCCAGTGTCTCCTCGTCCAATTCGACCGTACTCTGATGGTGACCGATGGGCAGTATGAGCACGTGATCCGGAGTGAGCGCTCCTTTGGCCAGCGCCAGGTAACAGCTTTCGCCGATGCTGATGACCAGGTGTTTCTCCACTTCGGGACTGGCCAGGCAAAACCAGCAGGGTCCCTTGGGGGCTGGAGGGGGTCGCTTCTTGCGCTCTTGCCTGTCTCCGGAATCGCGGTTTCGTTTCTTGCCCTTTTCCGCGGCCGGCGTGAGGTCGTAGAAGAACTGCTGCGACTTGGATGACGCGTCCTTGAGGTCCGACTCGCTGAACTCGTACGGACATTCGGTCACGTCGGTGGGCTGCTTCACGAGCTCCGCATTCGTAATGCTCGACATGGGATCCATCGAGAAGGCGTAAAGCCACTTGGCCTTGGTCGCGTTGCCGACGGAGGCCAGTGATATGAATCGCGTAACGTGGCGAGCTTGCTCCTGGAGCACCTTGTGGTTCCTGTACGGAGTCCTCTCGTAGTATGTGTCTCCGGATGACGTGAAGTGGCATCTAGGCCGGAGAAAGAAGGCGAGTAGAGATATGACGTCCGAACCATTTTCTTCTTCAGCGGACGCGGTGTGAGCGTATTTGCTCACGTTCTTCGGCCACTGGGATGTGATGAACAGGTCTATGCCCTTGTGGCTTGTACTTTCGACGATCGGGGTCAAGAATTCGACCGCTTCCTTCTTGACAAACTCGCCCCTGGAAGGTTTGCCATCTTTACTCTCGTTTCCGCAAAAGTAGGCAATCTTGAGTCCCGAAGCACCGGTAAATATTCCACGGGAACCCAAGTGGACGACGTTGTCCGCGAGGTCCGAGTCTGAATACGACTCGGGCGTGATGCCAACGGCGTATGTCTGCAGGGGGACCTTGCGGCCGCTGAGCTTGTATTGAAGCCATAGCGAAGTGTCGGGCCCGAAGAAGTCGCCGACGCAAAGCAGCATGTCAAAAGGCCCGTGCTTCTCATTGACCCTCGACACGCGGTCAAAAAGTTTGTCAAACTGACCGCCGACATCGCCGCACACCAGGAGTCTCATGGAGGACGCCATCCCGGTTCTAGCGTCTACGATGGGGCAGATATGAGGACGGGGACAGGTACCACTTTATTACGGCGTTTCTCAAACACGAACAGACCAAGATCGCTGATTTTGCAGCGTTTTTTAGACAGCCCAACCGCACAACTACTGAATTCGTACGGGCGACGTGCGATTTCACAAAAGAACAAACAAAGCAATGAACAAGGTTGCCCGTTTGTGACGCGTTTTATTCCGCATTGCGTGTCAGCACTACTATTCTTTCATTGATAGTTTATTGCTTTTTTTGCTTTCAATACACGTAAAGTTACGTTGTAGTGGTGTAAATGATTAATTTGTATCTATTATTATCTATTTTTGTTAAAGTGAGAGCAGTTTCGGTTTCGGAACATGTGTTCGTGTTTTTGAGTTTCCGTGGTAACGGGTGTTTCTCTTCAGTTGCTCCTTTTCAAAGAAAAGTCCGGAGTGACATGGGGGCATGTCCTTCTAGAAAGTCCAAAAGGTGATGTTTCGAAACCCTCCATTTGCAAACTACCTCTGACTTGCGGAAATCTTGCCATTGTGTCACGCGCCTTGCAACAGTTTATTATGTGTAGCGAATTACGTGCAACGTTGGTAACATGTGCGCGCGCTTTACCTTAGCTGACGTGAATCGTGCTAAACATTTTTCTGGCAGGGTGTTTGGAGTATCATACCGAACAAATACAGTATACACGACAGTTCTCTTTGGTTGTTTATCAGTGCCCGAAAAGATAGGCGGCGTCGTATCTTTTGTATTTTCCAGGCACATCACACTTCTCATGATTGGTCTTGACAACGCTGGAAAGACATCGACAACGAAGCACCTGTTGAGAGGCACGTGTCATGTGGTATATGATTTGCCTCTTCACTTAATTTCATACTTAACGCATTAAAAACAATACTGTTTAGTTACTTTTTGAGTTACCTAGCTAGGCTTCTAAATATTTCGATCTAACCAGATACGCTTCATCGTTGAAAATCATTTAGGCGCGAGAGTTCAGACTCTCGTCGCATAGCGTGTATTATCTGCTCCTGCTCCAACGTTTTGGGCCTCTTCGGTCATGCGAACCAGCTAGAAAGAATTTTACAAACTCACCTATCTATCTCACCATCGTCATCTATTAGTCTTTCTTCTCCCCTTTCCCTTCCCCCAGTGTAGAGTAGCAGGCTAGAGCAAGCTATCGCTCAGGCTGACCTCTCTGTTTTTTTTTGTAAATAAACCTATATCTCTCTCTAACACGATAAACTTTATTTGGCGATTTCTCAACACATTTCCGATATTTTTGTTTTCTTTTGTGACCTTGTTCCCGACATTTTTAGACAATACATGAATTCCCCCGATGATGGATTATTCGTAGTTGCGGTTAGTTTGAACGGGTTACTTCGCAGTACTCTGCCTGAAATGTACGTGCCGCTATTACGTGTAAGTGGTCGACAGAAGATACATACAGCGCCATTAGTTCTAAATGAATTTTTGCATCATACTGTTTTCAAACCAAAGCGTGTAATAATAATTGTAGGGGTTCAACGTCACAAATCCCACCATATAATCATGAGAGACGCCGTAATGGAGGGCTCCGGAAATATATGCACACGACCCTAAAGCATTTTCAACTCCATATAAAATGCGGCAGCCACAGTCGGGAGCCCCTTAGCCACTAGAGCACCGTAGTAGCTGAGTCCCTTAGCCACTAGACCACCGTGGCGGGTAACCATGCAAAGAGTGCAAACAGATTATCTTACCGCAGTGGTGTCTCAATGGCTGCGCTTGGTTTTCGCTGCTTGTCGGAAGTTCGCTTCCTGTAGGGTTCAGGCCCGAAAACAGATGATTAATACATTTTTTTTTCACCTTTACTATCCCGATGTGGTTCGAATTATGATTCTCCAGATGTCATTCAGCACGTCAAACACCATCACTTGGTTCATATCAGTCGATTATATATGCCGTGGCGCAGATGCCAATCCTGAGGACGTGGTTCCCACGGTGGGCTTCTCGAGCGTCGAGACTGAGCGCTGCGGTTCCCACGTGACCATTTGCGACCTGGGAGGCGGTGCGAAGATCCGCGCCATCTGGGAGTGCTACTACGCACTCGCCCACGGCTTGGTACTCGTGGTGGACGCATCGGCGACGCACAGGGCGCCGGAGTGCCGCAGCACCGTAGCACAGGTGCTGGCCGACCCTCGGATCGGCGGGAAACCTTTGCTAGTGTGAGTGTACAGTTGAACCTGGTTGTAAACCACCCTAATATAGCGAATTACCTCTTAAAGCGAACGAAATACCTCACAGGTCCCCGAGGAGGCATAGGGCGAGGGGGGCATGAACTGCAACTCAATACATTATAGATTGTGTGCGTGCGCGTATTCCGAAATTCTCACACTCACGAAAATTCCAAGTTACCGAACTATACAGATGCTATGAAAACAAGTGAAAAAGAAATTAACGAATAAATAAATAAAACACAATAAAATGCTGCATAGCGTGGCAGTAAGTATTAACTAGCGTACAGGAAAATTTGTACCACAGTCAGGATATAATATAATTGCGTCGTTAAACATTATATTAAAATATAAACACAAGCTCACGACATCGCAATGAATTAAGAAGCAAACGTAACCTGATTGGAAAACACCTCGCACTAGATTACACACACACGAAAAAAAAAAAGAAACAAAGCGCGCTGCATAAAAAATTGTTTGTAAAAACCACAGGGTTATAACTAGAGCAAGGTCGTTGAGGGGGTTCTGACAACCCACGAAATTTTGTAATGCTCTGCCATTTCGGGGGATACTAAATTATTTTGGCGCCTTCACATCGACCAGCAGTTGCCAAAGTTAGTTGTTCACACAAAAATACCCCCCGAAAAAGCTTCCTCGGTACGGCTTTCAAAAAAAAAAAAAATAAATAAAACGTCATGGTTTCTCAGCGAAGTAATGTTATCCGGTAGGTTGTTCCAGAGACGGATATCATATATGCTTATTAAGTTCAATATAAGTAAATGAAATCTATTTACTTTGATCTCAGCTTCGGTCAGGGCCTTATAAAAACAGAAATGAACGCATGAATGTTTTCAAGCCCGCCGAATTCCTTTATCCGCATACGATGAATGGTCACCACTACTATAGTATATCTCAGTTTATTCAATTACCCGTCCGTACCAGTACGTAGTTATTCAAGTCCATTATTGACGCCAAGGGCGCTCTGGTGAATGCGATTCTTCTCAAAATGGGAAATCTGCGGATACGATTAGGTCAACCAGATAACTTACGAAACCATTGTCATATTCTGTAATTTTTGCTTGGGGGTGGTATGTGTACAGAACGGCTAACTTTAAACTTTGGCAACTGGTGGTCGATGCATGTGAGGGCGTACGAATACAGTTCAAGTATGAAAAAAGTGTCTATGGGCGGGGGGGGGGGGGGGGGGGGTCAGATTTTCTCATTTCGACACCCTCTTGTTACAGCCCTGCGTGTAACCGTTTTTTTTTTAATGTACCTGCAGACTACTCAACAAGCAGGACCTCGAAACGGCCGTCGACGAAATGGAGATGTGCTCACTGCTAGACCTAGAGAACGTGGTCAACCAGCACAGATGCCCCACCAGAGTGGTATGTCCCCTTGAACTTCACGTCTAACGTTGATCTATTGTTCGTGTAGCATTCTCCACTAATTAAGGAACGCGAGCGCGATTGCTCGCACGTCTTTTCTCTTGTGATGGACATCACACCTTCACCTAAAAAGGAAAAAAAAGAGAAAAAAATTCCTCAGAAGTAATTTAATTCCGGCTTTCGTCAACGGGAGCAGGACAGCAGAGAACGACCTTGTGCATAGAAAAGTGCCGACAAAAAGGCGGATCATCATATTGGGCTGACGTGCGTGCTTTGAACGTTGCTTGTCGCGGTGTAGGTCACATCGAGATTGGCTTTGTTTTCTTTTTCATCAACGTATGTGACTCGTGGATGCAACGTACTGCAGGGATCTGGCGCTCGGTGGTGTGGGCACTCACTTCGAGACGAAGGCCTCCGCTTTCCGCTATTTTTTTGGGGTGATCACAGGCACGGGAAATACAACTATATGGGACAGAAAGTATTTTTTTATTGGCACTTTTGCCCATAGATGTGCGCATGGTTCTCCTTCGGGGGGGAGGGGGGGGCGAATGTTTTTTTGCAGCTCCTCCCAATACCCTTTCGCTGTTTACAAACACGGGCCCTTGATGTCATCCGGTTTGGAAGAGCTTTAGAAAACAGCCTGCTGATTTTCTACACTTTCCTTCCTTTATTCGACAAAATATATTGAAATGAATGTGTATTTGAGCCACATAAAAAATGTAAGAGATTACCTTTAACTTTACGCACGTTTATTTCATCTGAAAAATTAAAAAGATACTTTTCTGATGCTTGAAAGAAACTTGAAAATGTGCTTTTAGTTCGAAGTTGGGAGCTGGTAAATGAGGTGACCGGAAGTTTTTTGGGGTACAACGCTTGCAGTCTTAAAAACCATCTATTAAGTCAGTGTATAGGGCAGATTTTGGCCCCCTCTCAGTTGACTACGGGGGGGGGGGGGGGTAGAGGCGCCTCCTTGTCTCCCACTCCCCCCTACACCCGTGCGCACGCGTATACTTTTGCCTACGCTGCTTATATATAGCTTAATTATTTGTTGTTTGTTGTCATTCCACTGTAGCCCCGCCGCCGTGGTCTAGTGGCTCAGGTACTCAGCTGATGACCCGCAGGTCACGGGATCGAATCCCGGCTGTGGCGGCTGCATTATCGATTGAGGCGAAAATGCTGTAGGCCCATGTGCTCATACTTGGGTGCGCGTTAAAGAACCCCAGGGAGTCGAAATTTACGGAGCCCTCCACTACGGCGTCTCTCATAATGGTGGTTTTGGGACGCTAAACCCTACATATCATCATATCATATCCTTCATTGTCAATACATATTCCGTGTTAAAAGACAGCTATTCTTTCAGCAGTTCACTATAGTTCCGTCCTGGTTCAAGCAGCAGTCCCCTTAAACGTCGGACAACGCAGAACCGATGAGCCCGACTCCTGACGTTGCTCCTTCCTGGGCTGTGCAGGAGAACTGCTGCGCCATCAGATTCGGCGGCCGGAAGCGCAAGCGGGACCCGGGCATCGACAAGGGCTTCCAGTGGCTCCTGGGACACATCGGCCGCAACTGGGATGAGCTCAGCGACAGGGTGGAGCGGGACACGGCGCTACAGCGCGAACAGGAAGAGAGGGAGAAGGAGCAGCGCCTCGCCAGGGTACAGAAGGCCAGGGAGCTCAGGTGGGTACTGCCTTTTATATTTTCCAGTCGGTCGGGCTCTGCCGCACTTTTCAGAGATGCTGAAAAGTACGTCTCTCTCTGTTCTCGTCCATCCCGACGTGTGTATTGCGGCACCGTCGGTGCGAACGCGCCACGCGGAAATACGTTCCTTAAATCTGGCTTCTGCGCAACAAAGGTCAACTTGAGGAGAAACTAGCTTTACAGGCTCTTCACGAGTCACTTGTGCTAGTTACACTGCAATGTTTGTCGATGTATTTAAACTTGCGTTGTCACCTCTGGGCATTTATATGCGCGCTGCCTACCATATTTGCGCAGTTCTCATGTTCGTTCACTTCTCCGTCAGCCTCTTCCGATGTGTTTTATGAAAACCCCCTCCCCGGTCTTGAGTAGGATTAAGAACTGAGACAGTTGTTATTGATTAATGGCGACTATAAGCGAACTGCGTGATTATAACAGAGACAGATGAATATACTGTGGATACAACGCGAGCGCTAACCGCAAATGGAGAGCTCATGATTGTGACTCATCATTAAATTAAGCCACACAAAGCAATTGCTTTTATTGCTGACATAACAATTTGTATAGTCTTGATTTTTTTTGTTGCTATCTTGGTGAACTGTTGAAGGCTGACTAACACAGTACGTTATGACTTCCCTCCTGTGCTTCTTCTTTGTCTGCTTTTACAAACACAAATATTTGCCCTACTTACAAGAACAGTAAACTGTGCTCAGTAAGTAACCTACACCTCAAGAATGTGCACCCAAGTAGAATGACACAGAAAATCTGATTCGTTAAACTAAATTAACGACCACGATTGGAACCTGGCAAGATGGACATAATCTTTTTGTTTTGAATAATCATGACTTGACTGATCAGTTCATACAATACAACATGTCAGCAACGTGACTGACCGTTCCAGCAACGTTCTAATGTACTGATGATCGGCTGCAAAATCAACTTACTCAGAATAGTGGTCCTTCACAGCTCGCTCACTTGATCATTAGAATTGCTCAAGTGCAACTTACTTTAGCAAGAGTGATTAGGCAGTTAAGTAATTTTTTCTTTTGAACAGGGCCAAGGCACGCGCAAAAGAAGACACCATACCTGAAGATGAAGGCGACACAAACGGCAACAAAATAGCCAGTTTCGAGCACGAGCAGGAAGATGGAAAGGTGAAGAATAACTTTTTATTTCACACTGCAACTTGCAATGGTGTTAGCACAGCTTTTCAGAGAGGAAGAAAAAAAAAAGTCCCATCCTTTTTTTCTTTTGTACGGTACATACTACAATGTCTCTGTATTAATGAAAATCGACAATGGAGCCAAAAAAGGCATCATTGTAACAAGTGTGGTGCCCCATATAAGCTCCCTTGGGCTTCATTATCACCTGGCTTTAAATAACATTGTGGCAAAGAATTATGATCCCTCAAAAATTCTCTTCCTTAGTGTTTCTGCACGGATTTTCAGTACAAAAGAGACTTTGAGTCATTCCAATCATGCAACAGCGTTATTTTGTATCACAGCTCACAGGATGACGAACGTGAAAATATCCTGAAATTGAAAAAAAGAAATGCTTTCAATATTGGCGACATTACAATGAATTAGTGCAGAAACGTCAGGGCAGCATCGCTACGAGGCTTCTGGCACTCGTCTCAAAGGCACCGCGCAATGGAGTTTTTCACGTGCAACAGCAGCACCAGAACGCATAGTTTAGTGTGCAGAAGAACCAAGATGGGGCTGGGGTCAAACTAGAAGTGATTCACCACCTGCGTCCCGTATTCCTTGTACCTGTAACGGCCAGTGTCGGTGACATTCACCACTTAAAATGCTATGCAACTCTCTCCGATCAATTTCTGATTCTCATCATTGTGTTGTCACAGACAGAAGCGTAATTTACCATTTGGTATATTTACAATTTACAAGAACTAAAATTTGTGCAAGTTTGTAGGCATTCATAGTTTATCAAGAAATGCAAGAAAATAACTCAAGAAAAGTAATTGGGCTTTCTCGCAAATACCCTAAAACCTTTTATGTCTTCATGCTAAATGCATGAATGTGAGCATGCTTCATATAATCTCAAGCTTTCGGAGTTTAGCGTGTTTTAGCTGCATCACATCCTTCTTGTCAAATTTTGGTTTTGAGGGCACAGTAAAGTGTGTTTGTGTGATGATGTGTGCTTGGCATCCTTTTGGGGTTGAGACAAAGCACTTTTGCATGATGATGTATTTTAAGTGATCAATCTGAGTAGGTTGATAAATAGGCATGGATTTGTGAGAATAAACTTTTCGTTGAAGTTGGTGCTAGTCTGTCCTTGTGTTTTGTCTTGTGCCATCGTCTTACGCTTATTTTACAAATATAATTACAACATTCCTACTTAGCAAACTCTTGTCAGAATACCCTGTTGCTACCTTGTGCTGTTCTCTTTGCATTCAGATTGAATGCTCCAGAGAAGAGGATCTACAGGAGGATAGAAAAATGGAGACACCAGATGGTGCCCGCTTCATAGTTGTCAGTCCCGTTCAGTGCCATTGCTCACCAAGCGGCGAAGCAGAGAAGCATAGCTTGTCTGAAAGTCATTATGAGGGGCCGCTTTCAAACGACCGTCGTCCATCTACGCCCTCGAACAAGACTTTGGGACTTTCGCTCTACATCCCGGATGCATCCTGCCAGCCAATGACTCAGATAGAGATGTGATTGTGCATGTTTAACTTTTTCTCCTTTCCTGCTGTGCAATGTTACGTGCCTTTACATTTTGTGTTGCATAGAACTTTTGCACGGAAACTTCTAGCACTGATTGTGCAACCTGATCATTAATTCTGCCAATATCCTCTGCTCAGCCATACTGCCCTGGCGCACCACATCAATCTATCCTGTGAGTAGCCAGGCTTGAAAAAAGGACCCTCCTCCCCACGAGGTCTGTAAAAAACGGACAGTGTTGTGCCATAGTGCACTCCTATAAAAAATGTGGGTAAAAGGGCTTTCAAACTAAATAACAACGTTGTGCATTCTCTTGTTGCTCATACATTTGGCAGTTCTAAGGATATCAAATTATGTGTGCATTATGAATGTCAGTTGTCTCCCAAACTTACACAGACATCCTGATAAATACTAGCCTCAATATAGGGAGGCACTACATCTGATTGAAGAAACAAGCAGAGACAGTAGAGTGTGCATTTCCGATGGAGGCGGAAATGTTGTAAGCCCGTGTACTCAGATTTGGGTGCACGTTAAAGAACCCCAGGTGGTCAAAATTTCCGGAGCCCTCCACTACGGCGTCTCTCATAATGAAATGGTGGTTTTGGAACGTTAAACCCCACAAATCAATCAGAGACAGTAGAGTGGAAGGCACTTGCAATCATGTTACATGGTCAGACAAAGTGGTAAAATAGGTGAGTGCCCAAAAATGCTCATCGATGCTGTGAGCATATGCAGACCACAGTACGCAATCAACATAAGTGATGGGTACCAGGGCGCAGATTTGGTTAGAAGCTGTCCAATCATTGTTGCCATTACCTTTCCTCTTTATGCACTGCCACGTGTAACATTTTCATGACAGAAAGCAAGGGCTAGAGCATCACAAATACAGTCGTACTTAGTGGTTTATATATGAAGTGGTGCATGTGGTGGTGTTTGACATATCTGTCATGATTACCACTCTGTCCCACTTACATTTCCATAACATGTTTTTGGAAAGACGTGCAACACTGACCTGCCGCCATACCATATTTAGAACATGGTTAAATATGAGTGCATGCCTCTATATGAGAATGGAAATGGGGTCGGTCCCATGCTTTTTGCATGTGTTGGCCTTTCTCATACAGTCTGCAAATTGCCATACACACAACACAGGTAGGAATTAAACAGCTATATCTTACGATTTGCTAATGTTTTGATGAAAAAGGCTGGCCACATTCAATTTATGTAACATAATTTATTTTCCATTCAACAGTTCGTAGGTTACAGTAAAACATGGGATAGTGCAGCTGTAAGCCTGCAGAAGACCTCCTTTATTTTTGCTGTAAAAACTTGAGATTCTGCAGCTCACTCAATTGACACTGTCACCATCTCTGAAACTACTATTGTTCTTCTTTGCAGACTGTCATCACACAATTAGAGCCCCTTTACTTTGTTGTTGATGCGAGATCTGTAAAGCAACTGTACGAGATATACAAGCAATTGTACAACAATGCCAAAGTGCACATATCCACAATGTATCGTACAAGCTCCTTATAGGTAATGCACTTTTCAGTTTACGCCAAGAGTGTTAAGTGGTCAAGTAAGATGTTTTGTACTGTATCTTCACCACACAGTTTGCGGATCATGTGGTGAGACAACAGGCACAATGTTTATACATCATGAATGTTACCACTCAGAAAAATAAAAACTCTCAGGTCCGACTATTGTCGCGTTGGTCCCTTCGACTGTGCTGTTCGATCATGGTACTGATGACTAGTCTTCAACTGTCACTGAGCATGTGGGAGAGTTTTTGTGGTCTTTGCTACAGTTTAGCTTTGAAGCTGTGCTTTGGTTTCTTTTAGACCCAGTTGAAATTCCTTGTTGGTCGGATCAAGCGAAACAGCCTTCTCCATGTCGCCCAAAGCAACGTCGAAACAACCTGTGAATAAAGCACATGAAATAAGGAAAACGTGCTGAATGTGGACTAGTTATCTTTACCAATCAGCACACATGCACGCACGCACACACACACACACACACACACACACACACACACACACACACACACACACACACACACACACACACACACACACACACACACATATATATATATAAAGGAATGTACAGGGGAAGTTATTAGAATCAATGGAATGTAAATAAGAAAGAAAAGTGGATGAAAAATAACCAGCCGTGAGCAGGAATCGAACCTACGACCTTCGAATAACGCGTTCGATGCTCTAACCGATTCGAAGGTTGTAGGTTCGATTCCTGCTCACGGCTGGTTATTTTTTCATCCACTTTTCTTTCTTCTTATTTACATTCCATTGATTCTAATAACTTCCCCTGTACATTCCTTGGCCTTACTGTTGTGTTAAAACACGGGAAAACGAGCCCTTAGGTACACACTTCTTTCCCTTATATATATATATATATATATATATATATATATATATATATATATATATATATATATATATCGGCTGTGTATGCAACACTACTGTAATATAAGTCCACGTACACTCACAAAGGAGCGAATTTATTGATGTCAACAACGTTTTTATCCGCAGACGATTGTGTTATGTTTTCATATGCTATCAAGCTGCGTACATGGCGTCGGCGTATGTGCAAGTTATCAGAGTCAAACTAGGCAGCACTTTTGGTATTACCCATCCTGTACTTGACGGTTCCACGATTGAAGTAGGCGGCCGCCAGGGAATCGCAGTAACGTATGGCTTCCGTGTAATCCTCCACGGCCTCGTCGAATTCTATCATCCTGTAGTTCACCTGACCGCGCTCGTTGTATGCAAGCGCGAGCTCGTACTTCCTGGAAGTGCCAGCGAATTAATGGAGTGAACTCCAGTGGAATATTACGCACCCGCATGACAATTTCATTAAAATGAAGCCGCTAGGAGCCGGTCACCTGTGGTTTAGGTCCTCGGCGCTTTTTGGATCGTGTTCTTGGCTTTCTTGGAGGAGGCGCATATACTCGCTCTTCTTCTTTTCGATCAGGTCGTCGAGCTGCGCTTTTTTCTCGTGTTTACTGGGAATATCGCCTGTCGCCGAATCCATCAAGCTTCGCGTGATTACGTGTAAAAAATAACTGCGATTGCCAGAGAGGATACACAATCGCAATCGGAAGAGACGCGCCGGCTGCTGTTAGGATCGGCTTCGGTTTGAGCTGGATCCAATGTGGATTTTCTACACAATTACGGCGGCCTTTACGTCTCGCATGAAGCAAGCAAAAATGAATAATCTCTGAATTTTGTGAAATATTTTTTGTGACATACTCTATGGCTCTGTGTGGTGTAACCAAGCCTCAGAGATTGTAGTTAGAGCCATCATTTAAAATTTAATTAGGCTATCCTCTGGAGTAAATAGTTCCTTCGCTGTGCACAAAACATTACTTTTGAGATCTACAACAAAAACTCATTGAGCCCTATCTTCCAAAACAAAAACTTTTACACACAAAAAATTAAAAAAAATACGCACAAAAATTACTAGCGTTTAAATTAATTTATAAGTTACAGCTTCTAGGCATGTATAGAATAAAGCTTGCGCTAGTTGAAGAAAAAATAATTTGAAAACGAAACAAAAAGCAAAGTTACACTTATCATCATCAAGACGCACGCATGCGCGCCACAGAGCATCTGTACACGGTGCGTCGTCGTCGGGCGAAGAAGTGATTGGCGAAGTTAGCGTGAAAAAAATTCGACTTTCGAAGGCGTTCGAACACTGTGTCGCGTGATGTTTATGCGGACTCTGCACAGGTCTCTGTCGCCGGCAAGGAAGACATTGTCCATCGTCCCTGTCACCTCTGCGAGCTACCACGAGAAGGCAAGTACTCGCAGTGCCCGTGCATGCATTCCTGTACTGCGCATTACACCCTGCGCGATTCTCTGGGCTGATCATTTCGAACAACCAAGCACTGTCCTTGCCTAACTCGAAGCCCTTCAAGTTGTCCGGCCGCTAATCAGCGTCGGACACGTATTTGCGACCCAATTCGTTCGTTTCTTCGCTTCTGTGGTATGCACACGCGATCAGACAGATATTGCAATGACCGACTTTTACGTGGGGTGACAGTGCCGGCCGCAAAATGTAGTGCACTACAGCGAGAGGCCTGCGCGTGTCGAGTAGATATAGCGAAGGGCATTTCTTTGTTTATTTCGCCCTGGCAACAGCTCCTGCGGTTAGCGAAACTATTTCCACGCGTTATCTTTAAAAAGTGTTTCCTGCCTCGTGCCGATTTTCTTCTCTTTCGTTACCAGGTTATTGACCACTACGAGAATCCTCGCAACGTTGGATCCCTCAATAAGGACGACAAGAATGTCGGCACCGGCCTTGTTGGTGCGCCAGCGTGCGGCGATGTCATGAAATTGCAGGTAAAAGCGATTAATCGCGTTGAGATCATGCCTTAGAAGGCGATGCTTCTTTGGTGACACAGGAAAGGTCGCTTAGCAGGCGCGGGTTTACGCTGGCGGTGAGTTACTGCAATGTTCGCGTATGTTTTGGAAAGCAGTAAACGGCATATCCACTCAAAAGGTAGAGATGCGATAAACGAAATACTATTTAAAAAATAATAACAAAAAAGAATGTAAGAAAAAAATGGGTTTCTCAATTTCATGCGTTAGTCGTTACAATGCGACCAATTCAGTTATGGGCAATCATTTTATATTTGTCTTGGGTTTTGAGGAAAACCAGGCCGTTCAATGCTTATCAGTTAGGTGCTTAATGACCTGACACAGCAGGCAGTGTCTTTTTGAATTGCCAAGTTTAACTAAGCTGTCCTGGCATATAACTGAGATGTGATGCCACATAATTACCTGCCACGGTTATCTAGTGGTTATGCTGCCCGACTGCAGACACGAAGGCCACCTTATCGAATCCTGGCCACGGCAGCTGTAGTTTCTATGGAGGTCACCAACTCAAACATGAAACTAGGAGCTCTCTACGAGCTGCTCCTTTTTACTAAAATTTTGCCCTGTACCTCTTCATTCTCATTCTTTTTTTTGTTAATAATGTGCCTGTAAAGTATTACGATTTCATGGTCTGAGCCTCCATAAGAATGTATAATGAAACCACTTTTCTTCCAAAACCAGTTCACCAGTCATATTGTAAACTCTTCCTATGAAGTTCATAATTTTTTCCTTTGTTTTGCGCTTGTGAAACCACAATGCAAATACTTTGTCAACACATGCAGGAACACTTAGTATGTGTCTTATTTTTTTAAACTTCTGGTTTCGTAGAAGTGTACAGAGCTAACATGCCTTTTTTTCTTTGTAAATTTGACCTTTTATGTATGTTTTGCTTCTACCCTACCCTTACATAATGTGCCATCAAGGACCCTTAAGGGATAATAAATGATGATGATGAGGTGAAAATGCCTGTGTACTTGGATTTAGGTGCACATTAAAGAAGCCCAGGTGATCGAAATTTCTGGAGCCCCTCCACTGCTGTGTCCCTCATAATGGTATTGTGGTTTTGGGATGTTGAGTCCCAATGATATGAAATCGTGTGATTCTGATCTGACGTGGTTTAGGCCTTACCTCCGAACATGCTTTTATTTACTACTCATCATATCCAACTTTTTACTGAATTAGTTATGAAACATGTAATTACAGCTAAAGTTCATGGATTTTCTTGTGGCTTTGTGCTACAAACATGTGGTTGTCCATTTTTCTCTTTCTTAGCCCTTCCACTACCTTGCAGGTTTCCGCAGAACTCACTTGCATTACTTGTGTCCATGTGATTCGAGTTGTTGATGAATTTGCCCTCGAGCTGCCAATTGCTAGCTTCCTGGTAAGCTCAATCGATAGAGCGACCGCCCCGAAAAGGCGTTGGTTCCAGGTTCGAACCCCGGACCAGAAAGAATTTTTCGGCAACTAAGAGGCTTTTTTTTGATGAAATTTTCTTGGATTTCTTTGTGCTTCGAGCTACAAACAGGTGGTTGTCTATTTTTTCTTTCTTAACCCTTCGGCTATCTTGTGGGTTTCCGTAGAACTCAACTGTAATGTTCATGAACATCTCACTTTTTGTTCTCTTTAGATCAAGGTGGACGACAGTGGCAAGATTGTTGATGCTAAGTTCAAGACGTTTGGCTGTGGTTCAGCCATTGCATCCAGCTCCCTTGCAACTGAATGGATTAAGGGAAAAAATGTAAGTGACTTGTGAAAGCTTTTGTTGACCTTTGCTAGTGAGAAAGCCTCATTAACCAAACAAAGTGTAAAATATTGCACGCCGGACTTTTTTCTTGCATTGCGGCGACACTCTCATGCGTTCTGAGAGGCATTTGAATGAATGGTATTGCACAAACGAAATTGTCACGAAATTTTAGTTTAATAAACATAAGGATACTAGAGCAGCTCCAACCTTAACAAAATTTTTTTTGGTTGATTGTACATAGTACATTAAAGCATTAGAATCTTTGATGCTTCTAATATATCCAACCTTAACAAAATTTTGTTTGGTTGATTGTACATAGTACATCAAAGCATTAGCATCTTTGATGCTTCGAATATTTCAGGAACTGTACCGAGACCTGTATTGTCTTTTCGATCTTTAGTAATGAAGGTGTACAGATGAGCCTACCTACCATAGAATCCTGAGTAAGCGCCCACATTCCTCTTTCAGGAAATTTCAAATATGCGCTGTGTCCCCCCGTGAATTCCTGCTGCTTTCACTGCTTCATTATTGGGTTAGGTTAGTTTTAAAAGTTGTAGTTTGGGGAGTGTGATTAGGTTAGTTTTTAAGAGTTATAGTACATGGAGCGTGGTTAGGTTAGGTCAGCTTAGGCGCTGATGACAGCAAGCGTCCCCCCATGCCCTCCTGCTGCTTTCACTGTTTCATTCGCTGTTTTTATTCTCTCAATGAAGGTGAATCACAACAGTGATGGCATGCGTACTCAATAGAGCATTTCGCTAGAAGCACATACGGCTCTTTCACTGCCATATTTAATTTTGATTTGTGACTGAGCAAAGGCCTCCACTTCAAATATTGTCAGATTATCTTTCACCATTGGAGGGGGGTGGAGTGCTTACTTGTGATTTTATGGTATTAACGCAATAATGGTGTTGCTGCAATGCACCTTGTCTAGTTTGTACGGAGTTTTTTTTTTTGTGGTTAGCAGAAACAAATTTATTGAAAGCCAGTGGCTTGGTCTGTTGTGGCTATAGTCGTGTACGCAACTTGTTTATGCAAGTTGTGTCGACTTGTGGCCCCCCAAAAAAACAGCAAGATGCATTGTGCATGAGACAAGGAGGAGGAGGAAGTAAGTTCATTTACAGAAAGGCAGAGAGGTCGGCCTGAGCGATAGCTTGCTCTAGCCTGCTACTCTACACTGGGGGAAGGGAAAGGGGAAAAGAAAGATTAATGGATGACGATGGTGAGATAGAGAGGTGAGTATGTAGTGTTCTTTCTAGCTGAGACACATCTTATAGTCGCGCACATAGTCCAGTTGTTTCTAAAAAGGTAATAACTGCTCTTGTGACCGCAGTTGCACTGTTGTTGTCTGGCCAAGGGCCCAACATGGTCTCATCAGTTAATGACCTACTGCGATATAGTTCAGTAGAAGAAATCAGTGTTTGTCGTTCACGTGCGTATGCTGGGCAGACACAAAATATGTGCCCAAGTGTTTCTGGCACATCACATGAGACAAAGTGAACCAACCTCCTGCAGAGTCACCATGTCTTGCCTTAACCTCAGTGTGGTGCATATGACTGTAGCCGATCACATTGGAGAATGCACTATGAGGCTCAACGGATCGTTCTACGTGTCGCGTTCCAGAGCCAACGTCAGAAGTATTACTTTTCTTTCAACGAAACGGAAAGCTGCCTGCGCACACACGTTCAGCCTATGGTTTCATCCTGTTTATATCAAAATGGAGCATGTGTGACTGCATTATAACAAAGTATGTAATTAAGTGTTAATTACCATTAACTGCTGAAACTCACACGAAACAGCACTTCGTTTTCTGTCTTGGAATGTAATATTGAGTACTTCGGAATAGCAGTATGTAAATTTGACACACTTGTGGACAGTGCATCATAGTTCGTCCCTGAAGCAGTTGTGTACATGAGTTGCAGATTGCTCTTGATTTTAAATAATGAGTGCTGGTACATTATTACTGTAGACTCCTATTAAACGGTACCTCAAGGGGCCGAGAAATTATGCTCCTCTTTACAGGAGGTTCGTTTACCAGGGGATGACCGAGAGTGCACGAGCTTAAAACCTATCATATTTGAGGCACTTGTTTCTTTTAAGCAGCAGTTCTTTTCAAGAAAACTTCATTTACTGAGAATCTATGATACATCGAAAACATGTACGTACATTAGTTACTGAAAAGGATACGTATGCGGTGTCCAGTTGCCTTATCTCATCAGTGATCATTGTTGTTGTAGGCGGCGAGCAAGGCGACGCTGGACTCAGTTGGTGGCGAAGGTTTAATGTGATAAGCAAGCAGCTCGCATGCCAATATAAGTACAGGCACATGACGTAGCCTGTGACGTCAGTACGGCGCGTCATACGTTGGCTACTACATCTCTTCCGCCTTTATTTAGCAGCATAGCCAAAACGTTCGGGAGGCTTTCGAATTCTTGTTGTTCGTCGCAATTCAGGTGGCATGACGTTTTCTTGGGAGCTGGCGTCAGGCGCCTGCTGTGATGGCAGTTCCGTCACGCTGGCTCGGTCAGGTGGCGGAAGTCGTTGCTCTGGTGCAGGCCCGTCCGGCGGCGATGCGGTGTCGCTGTCGCTTTGTGTTGGAGTGGAACCCGGCTGTGCCATGCGGGTTTGCTCAGGAATCCACATGCTTCTGGGAAGAGGAGCAAGGCATGTGTTAGGAACAATATCGTCCGCATGCAGAAAGCGCTCGTGGTCTTCGATTCGGACTATGCATGTTCCTTTGCTAACTCGTCGCACAACTGTTCCTTCCAACCAACGTGGATCACTCGGTCGGTTTCTTCGCACACGAACGTTGTCGCCAACCTCAATCTCCCTCCATGAAGTATGGGTTTCCTGTCCTTGTCTTCGAGCTATATTTGCTTCGGCACGTTTCGCTAGCTCCGGATGCAAGATGCTCAGCCTCGTGCGTGGCCTCCATGAGAGAAACAGTTCGGCTGGCGTCTTACTGGTCGTCGAACACGGCGTGTTTCGGTAGGTGAACAGGAACTGGTCTACCCGGTGTTGCATCGTCCGAGTCACTCCCGTGTTCTGCTCGTCCCGTAGCTGTTTGATGAAGCTTCGCTTGACGGTCTGGACAAGCCTCTCCGCCGTGCCATTTGAAGCTGGGTGGTAAGGTGGTGTCTTGGTGTGCTGCACTGCATTGGAGTTGAGAAAATTTGTGAATTCAGCAGACACAAATTGCGGCCCATTGTCAGTCACAATTCTCTCGGGAAGCCCAAATGCAGCAAAAACAGTTTGGAGTTTTTCAACTGTCGCCTGTGCTGTAGTGGACTTCATGTGCAGAACATCCACCCACTTGGAGTGCGCATCGACAAGCACTAAAAACCAGTCGTTCTTGTAGTAGGCAAAATCCAGGTGAACTCTCTGCCACCTGCGGGTTGGCCATCCCCACGATAACATCGGCACGTGGGGCGCAGAGTTCTGCGTTAGTTGGCAAGTTGAACAACCTCTTACAGTTTCTTCAATGCGGTCGCACAACTTTGGCCACCACACATGGCTTCTTGATAGCATTTTCATGCGAGTGATGCCTGGATGCCCTTCATGCAAAAGCGATAAGACTTCAGATTGTACCGCTTCAGGTATAACAACCCGAGTTCCCCATGTTATGCAACCACAGTCTACCGACAGTTCGTCTTTCCGCGAGAAGAATGGGGCTACGTTGTCTTCTGACACGTACGATGGCCATCCATTCAAAACATACATCAGCACCTTAGACAAAACTGGGTCTTTTCGGGTTTCGTCACTGATCCTTTTCGCAGATAGTGGTACGACTTCTACTGCTGAAAAGAAGTGAACGTAGTCGCTTTCGTCGATGTCGTTCGGAAGCGGTAATCGCGATAACGCGTCCGCGTTTGCTACTTGGGCTCCCTTTCTGTACACCCATTTGTAGCGATATGCAGCTAGCACTAGCATCCAGCGCTGCATGCGTGCTGCTGCCATTTGCTGAATTGGCTTTGTTTGCCTCAGCAGTCCCTCCAGGGGAAGGTGATCGGAATAAATGGTGAATTCACGGCCGTAAAGATACTTGTGAAACCGTTTGATTCCGAAAATCACAGCCAACGCTTCCTTTTCTATGTGTGCGTAGCCACTTTTGGCCTTGCTCAAAGTGCGTGACGCATAAGCTATCGGCCTTTCTTCCCCGTTCACGACATGAAACAACACTGCGCCAACCCCGTAAGGAGAGGCACCGCAGACTAATCCAAGAGGCTTCTTTGGGTCATAGAATGTTAGCACGCTCGCTTGCGTAAGGAGGCTCTTACTCTCCGCGAAGGCTTTTTCTTCTTTTGCAGACCAGACCCACTTCTTATCCTTCTGAAGCAGTGCATACAAAGGCTTTAGCCTCGAAGACATGTTTGGCATGAACTTGGGGTAAAAAGTTATCATGCCGAGGTACGCTTTAAGCTCACTGATGTTCTTAGGTGTGGGTGCTTCCCTTATGGCTTCAACCTTCTCGACGCACGGGTGCACACCATTTTCGTCAATGATATGCCCAAGATATTTGACAGAATTCAAGAAAAACTTGCATTGTTCCTTTCTCACTTATACGCCGTGGTCCATGAAAACCTGCAGGACTGCTTCCACCCGCGCCAGGCATTCGGTGTGTGATGCTCCCGTGATGAGGACGTCGTCGAGGTAGCATACCACTCCCGGTAGTCCTTTCAACAGCTCGTTCATGATTGCCTGGAAAACTGCAGGTGCACTTGAGATTCCGTACGGTATTCGAACATACTGGAACAACCCCATGTGAGAGTTTATAGTCAGCAAAGGTCGCGAGTCAGGGTGCACCTCGATTTGCTGATATGCCGTCGAAAGGTCCAGAAAGGTGAAAACCTTGCCCCCAGCCAGTGTCGTGAACAAATCTTCCACCGCGGGCAGTGGGTAATGGTCGGTCTTCACACAAGGATTCACCGTCAATTTATAGTCTCCACTCAATCGTACTGTGCCGTCTGGCTTGTGAACAGCTACCAGCGGCGTGGCCCAGTCGCTGCGGGTTAAGGGCACCAGTACGCCCTCTTTTTGCAAGTTGCCTAGCTCATGCTCGACAGGTTCACCAATGGCATACGGCACAGACCGCGCCTTGCAAAAGACTGGCATGCTTCCTTCCTTAAGCACCAGTTTTGCTTGGTAACCCTTTATCAACCCTAAACCAGGTGAAAAAACGCTGGCATACCTTGACAGGATGCTGTCGACAGACGGTTGTGCGTGCACCTCGTGAATGCTGTTTAGGTCCATTCTGAGGTTCGCAATCCAGTCGCGGCCTAGGAGTGCTGGCTTCTCTCCTGGTACCACGATGATTGGCAGGACTTTCCGCTGTCCCTTATAATCGACCAAAACCTCCGCTTGGCCCTTCACTTGTAGCGTCGCTCCGCCGTAAGTCTTGAGCTTCATCTCGCACTTCGCAAGCTGCGACGGCTGCTTTAGCTGCCGGTAAACGCATTCCGGAACGAGTGATATGGCTGCGCCCGTATCTACTTGCATCTTCACAAGCTGGCCGGCTATCTGTACTTCAACTTCATATGGTTGTTCCGTGCCCACAAGATACACACCGTGCAGCAGCAGCTCCGTGCCTCCGCTCGCTTCGTCACTCACGTTGTCGACGGTGCCAGGCGCCAGTTGCTTGCATCTGCACATGCGCGCCAAATGTCCCACGCGCTTGCAAAGATGGCATTTGAATTTGTGATAACGGCAGCAACGGGCGTCATGTTCTTGACAACATCGATAGCAGCTTTGCATTGAACTGTTCTTCGGCTTCCTGGCAAACTCCGGTTCCTTCCCCGTCTTCTTTAGAGCGTGAATGTCGGCATCCGTATTCGCAGTTGGTCGGAATCCCCTCGACTCCCGCTCCACTAGCTCAACGCTCTTAGCAAAAACGCAGGCCGATTCGAACGTCAGTTCCTTCCTCTTCAGTAAACCCGTCTGAATGGTGGAATTCCGTAACCCAGCGACGAACCGGTCCCGTAAAGCGTCGTCGAGAAACATACCGTAGTTGCACTTGCCTGCCATGTGCTTCAGCGTGACTGTAAATGCCGCGACGGACTCCCCTTCTCCTTGGTACCTCCTGTTGAACTTGAAACGCTCCGGAATGACCTGACTTGAAGGCTCGTAGTGGCCACTCAGCACTTTCACCAAGTCCTCGAACGTCTTCTCTTCAGGTTTTGCAGGTAGAAGAAGGTCCTTGAGCGTCTTGTACGCTTTCTTTCCTATGGCAGAGATGAAGGCTGACTTTTTAAGTTCTTCGTCTTGTACGCCGGCTACTTTGCAATAGTGCCCAAACCGTTCTACATACGAAGCGAAATCTTTGTCTCCTTCTTCTATGAAGGCGTCAAATTCCCACATCTTCGCCATACCTTGCTTTTCGCCTTCCAGCTGTCGTTGTTCACAGGATCCGCCCCCGTCGTTCGGTGCAGCCTATCCCATCCTCGTCGCCATCTGTTGTAGCCGGCGAGCAAGGCGACGCTGGACTCAGTTGGTGGCGAAGGTTTAATGTGATAAGCAAGCGGCTCGCATGCCAATATAAGTACAGGCACATGACGTAGTTTGTGACGTCAGTACGGCGCATCATACGTTGGCTACTACAATTGTGGGCATTACAATGACGCTTTAAGCTGTGTGAGTGACACCTTCGACTTGAGTTTTTGCAGTTGTGTATGTATTTTATTTGTCATGCGTATACATGCTTGGTATTTATAATGCCTGCTCAATTTCACTGTGATCTTGTGCTAGTGTTGCACGACAATTGTGCAACTTGTAGTTCCATAGTAAGAGGTTATCAGTATTGCATAGAACAAGGCTGTGTGGGATGATTGCTTGACCTGTTAGCCTTTCTTTTTGATACTGTAGTTACTATCGATATGGCAACACTCGCCTATTATTCAAATGCCACATACCATAGTGTTGCCGATGCTGAGATTTCGGGCTACACATGGCTGTGAATGATATGTAACTTTTATAGCTATATTATCAGCCAAATGATGCTCGTATTATGAAGTTGAAATATTATTCTTACGCAATAGAACTAGTAAAAACAAATGTAGCAAAGCAGCGTGTTCATCATTGTTACTAGAACTGCGTTGATCTGTGTCCTACCTGAACGGCAGGCAACTTATTGTGGCGTAGTGTAACAGTACTGCGGTCACATTTGGGTTGTGGTATAACCAACACGAGTTTAGGGAAGTGAAGTGGCGCTACTCTGTTACTCGGCCACTGTAACAAGAAGTACAGTAGCAAAATATTGCTTTTCTCGTGGCAGGGTAAAGGAAGCAGAGTGTGGAATAAATGCGAACAGGCTTTTGTTTTTTTCTGTTGTACCATGATAAAATCTGTCCGTCTGCAGATATCAATACGAATGGCAAAATAAATCTTACCAGAGACCTTCACATTCACTTCCGTCATTTGCAATATCGTTGTATATTTTGGGTTCTGAATTAGTGCTAATTAAATTCCAAGCAACAATATGTCTACTTGTCTTGAAATTGCTTCAATTGTCGTTGGTTGCCTAAACTTTGATAAGTTTCACAACCCTTCTACTTACCAGCTGAAATGCATTTCCAAATATTGTGTAACAGAGCTGTAACCAGAAGGGTAGACCATTCCCCCCCCACCCCTCGGAAGAGATTTCAGGCAATGTCCCGGTGTTTTAATTATTCAGACTTGTTATATTGCCTGATCTAGGTCAATAAATTCTCCATTAATTACAGCTGTAATAATTCATGCTTGTGAGGTAATCGAAGGCTCAACTACAGTGTTGCCGTTTCAGTTTCCGTGTGAATCTTGTCCCAATCTCTATATGTTGATTACATTATTGATGGTTTATTTTGGTGTGCGTCCCTATTTGGCACAGTTCTTTCTTCTTCAAGAAAGTGCACTCCATACCCCCCGCCCTTTTTTCCAGGCCAGTTTGGAATGTATGCTACTCAATAGATCTTACATAGCAAGAATTAAAACTTGCATTGTTTTCATATCACAGTGGTGGTTTGCAAGTTTTTTATGTGCAGAGTCACTGCACTAAAACAGTGCAAGTGTCTTCTTGAACATTCAGAAGAACCTTAGTTTAGGCAAATGAGTTTGATTTATGCTTTCGACATAAAACAAAGTGAAAAATGCTTGTGCTGACAAGTTCGTTCTTTTGTTGACAAGTGATTAATTTTTGGAGCAAAATTGCTACAGTTCTAGGGAAGTTCAGCTTGCACGGTTGCTGCTCTTCATTTCAGGTAAATGAAGCTATGAAGATTAAGAACACAGACATCGCTAAAGAGCTGAGCCTTCCTCCAGTCAAGCTCCACTGTTCAAGTAAACAATCATTTCTTACCCTTTTAATGTGTTTGATTTTTTCTTCCACAGTGTGCACTTGAGAGCATTGTGACACGAAAATTTATATTGGATAAAATATTGGCAAACTATGCCATGTTTCACAATATACGTGCAGTGCACGAAACACTTTTGCTGCACTGTAAATAGACTGACATTAATTTTGCAGGCTGTGAAGGGCTGGTTTTTATTTTATTATTATAGCCATGCACTTGTCAAATTTTGATTGGTAGATAATGTTGCTGAATTTACATTGAGGTTTTAGGGAGCCTCTCATTGAGCAGCTTTATTAACATTATATTGTTAAGAACCTCATTTCACAAAAATTCTTGAGTCAGTGTTATATGTTGTGGGTGAAAAATCGTCTTGTCTGTGACTGAGAAATACAGAAAAACGAAGAAATAATTGATAAAGATGTCCGGGTCTGAGTGAGGATCAATCCTAGGTCGTCTGTGTGGAAAGCAGGTGTTGTAACTCACAGCCACGAAATTCGTTGAAACTGCTGTGTAAAAAAAACGCTGTCACGTAGTACAAGGAGTCTCGTTTAACGCATCATATATTACGTGGCAGAAGGGTATAATCGCACGAGTTGTCAAAAAGTTTGAATTGAGCAACAAGTATGTGTTTTAAAGGCTCACCCATGACAAAGAGTGCTCAGACACGTTCCATCATCATCATCTGCAGTACAGTGAACAGCTGCGTAGGTTCCCATGTTGCCCTATGGACGCGTAGTGGTCCCTTGGCTGATTTGCAAAAGAAATAATTATATCACAGTGTGCGCTTAGCAACTTTGCTTGCAATAGGCATTGAAGATACTTCAAAACGGGCAATGTTGCGTGCACAGTCGTTTGTTTCCTTATGGCAAAGTTGTGGCAGGAACCGAGTAGGTTAACTTTCCTTATAGCGTAGTTGTGGCATGAATTGAGAGTTGAAGTAGGTTAACTGTTCAGTAGGCAATGTGTACAAGGCTTGAATATACTATCGCCACCTACTCTTGAAGGCTGTTGTGTAGGAGCAGGAGTGTGGCGTAACGCCATTGCAGACCAGCCGAGAGGCGGAGCGGTGAGAGGGCGCGCAGTGAGGGGACACTTGGACCGAGCTTTGGCGAGACTGACTGGAAAGTGCTTTTCTGCGTTTATTGCAGGTGGTTTTATGGAAGGGGAAGAAGGGCAATTGGCCAGTGAAGCACGGGTCACATGACCAGCATGGCCATGCCGGATTCGTTGGGGGAAACTGGCATAGTGGAGGCCTAGCTCCACCCAGAACAGGAAGCTTTGCCGCACTGGTGTACTTGCATGATGCCCTCCAATTTTTGTGTTTATTCGCCAAGTTCCAGGCATAGAAGCACAACTGGCTGAACAGGTGTGCGAATGTAATTACGACCATGATGAAATTTTTCTGCTTTACAATACTTTCTGCCTGTAGAGACTGGAGCAGTCTAAACTCATGTGGAACAATCGCCTTTCTCGGTACTGTGTGTGCCTCTCAAATTTTTTTGCGGCGTCGACACTACTTACTCACTTTGCTCATTCAGCATCGCAGGGGTTCCCTTATTCGGATCATTCTAGTGACCTAGTTGTGAGCTCCTGGCAACTCAGATAAGCATTCACGCTTACTTTAAAACCAAATGAAAGGATCCTAAAAGGCAACATTCACTACTAACAATCACTCAGAAGTGCCCATCTATGCAGGAGAATAAGATAACACAAACATCTAAAGATTTAAAGCTTGGTGTCAAGGGTCCTTTGAACTTTCACCCTGATTTCACGTGCCATATTCCTGACGGTAGTTTCATTTGCATGTCTGTCATGATAAGTACAGTCTGAACAAATTTTGCACTGGTGTTTTAGCTTGAGTAGGGAAGTAGCGCTTCTTCCGTACTAAATACTGTGTACCAATTTGATTAATAGCAGACTTTCAGTGTTCCAGCTTGATGACGCAGCGACGCCATTCGTGGGTCACAAAGTAGTTCAAAAAAAAGTTTTATGTTCTTTCTCATTTTCGTTTCGACAAACAAATAAGTCAATGGATGCAATTATCAGGAAACAATTTTTACATCTAGCTGCTTTGCCGCGAAAAAAAAGAAAGAAAGTGCATGTTTAATAGTTCGGCTTGCTGAAATGTTGTTTACATGAACACGAAATTTCTATCATGCCCATGTGGGTAGTCACAATATTGTTTACCTGCTTTGTAGCACAAAGCTACAATGAAATCCATGCAGGTTACTTGGAAAGAAAGCTTCTTAGTCTGTGAAAGATACTCGTCCTGTTATGGGGATCACACCCAGGCTCAACACCAACGCCTATTTTTCATCAGCTACAAAAAGCGTTCTTCCTGAGAAATCGGCACTCACCGCAGTAGTCTCGTAGTTATGGCGCTCAAATGCTGACTTGAAGCTTGCGAGATCGAATCTTGGCCGTGGCGGCTGCACTTCAATGGGGGCAAAACACTTGAGGGCTGTTTACTTACATTTAAATGCAAATAAAGAACATTAGACGGTCTTAGTTTTTGGAGCCCCCCACTGTGGTACCCCTAAATCGTATCACAGTTCTGGGATAAAAAGCCCCCACAATTATTCAGTTATGAGAAATCTGTATGGATCTATCTATAGCTTTGTGTTACAAAACAGGTTGATGTTGATGTGTTTCTTTCATAACCCTTCCACCCCCTTTCAGTAATCTGTAGAACCAATTTGCAACAGAAAGTATTACTGCTGGCACATAAGTTGGTTGCCCTTGTATGTCATTCCTATACTAACAAGCCTAATGATTCTTTAAATATACTGCTTATGCTTAATCATTAGGTCAGTTTTGTCAGTCAGCCTTTTTTTGTAATCTGTTACATACTGCAGCTTATAGTTTGTAAGAGTTTGCTCCGTGGACTAAATGCCAGGTATGCCTTGCTCTTTGTACACTTTGCTCAATATTGCCTAGCTACACTCCTGTGCCGTTGTGTGATTTGGTGAATTGTACAGTTACGCAATCTCGCTTCATCATTTCAGTGCTTGCCGAAGATGCCATCAAGGCCGCTCTCAGTGACTACAAGCGAAAGCGAGGGGATCAAGGGACACCCAAGACGAGCGCAGATGCCTCTGCAAGTAGTAACGGCTGAGGGTTTGTAATGTTTGTTTAAGTTGTAGGAAGGTGAACTTTGTTGGAGTCGTCAAAGAACTGTAGTTGCCTCTCTTGCAAAGTAGAATAAAGGGCAGTTTGCCGAGATTAACTGAAGTTGAATTTACGATGTCTCTATTTCGTGCATGGTGACAGCTCTTCGAGTATGTGCTTGTGTGGTGGCTTGTGGGGAAGTTTTCAAGTGAGTAGCCTCAGATGGAAGGATATATGGCTTTAAAGGAGCCCCCCAGTGCTTGTGAAGCATAAATCTTTTATTTGTTGTTTGCATGTAGTGATGACTGGGGATAATTTAGCATAGCTTTAAGCACCGATGTCAAGTGATTTAATATTTTAGTCACACAGTAATGTCACTACATAGCTGTTGACACTGCATCAGCACGTAGTGGCACTTGCTGGAATTGTTGCCAGTGGAAAGAAAGAGAAGCGCACAAGCATTGGACATCAAAACTCTGATTACTATCGGGTGTCATTTTTCTTTTCTGTGCTTTCTCATTGATACTCAAAGAAATGTAGTCGCAATGAAAAAGTCACTACTGCTACAAAGCTAGACAAAGATGCTCTGGCGGCCATTTTGCATCTGATTTTTTTGCTTGTGCTGGTCAGATGTTCATATAAAAGGCCCCTTTCTTTCCCTTCTTGCTTCTGTACGCTTGTGAGCTGCCTCATTCCGCACAGTGGTATGCTCGTGATTGTTGTTGAAGTGGCGCAAATAATCTTTTTGTTGATGTCGCTGCACTCTTGTAGTTCTTTGGGCTGTCACCGAACAGTGCGTGGAACAAGTTTGCACAGTCTCGGGATTCTCGACCAATAGGGGCAACTGTGCTTCGTCGCCTTTATCGTTCCACAATTTGATAGGAGAAATTGATGTGAATTGCAGTTGTGAGGAACGCTGGACAAAGCCTTGCTTCGAAGCAGTAGCACCTGCTCAAATTCTCACATAACGGGTCAGGCACTACCTTGTTTTACTATGGCAAAGGCATCAGGACAAGCAGCAATGCTGTGCAGGCCTCCCCTATGTAGGAGCTTTCAGCTCATTCCATTGGCACTGCATTGCATCATCAGTAGCAAGTGAAATGATGTCATATGACCCTGAAAAATTGGGTGGAGGATAGGCATTTTTTTCTTGTATGTTGAACATTCTAGACTGAATAACTTGACGGTGCACCTATCGCTGCCGTTCCCCTGCTTTCTTATAATACTGACACAACACGGTTCGCATTCAACAGAAGAAAACATTTAATCAACAAAGCATTTATTTGGAGTATACTGCAAACATGTATCTTGTGTGTCAAGAAGGTATCTATTAGTTGCTCTAGTCGTGACGTCAAGCACTTTTTTCTTTTTTTGTATTCTTCTCGCGTGCGGCTTTCAACGTGAGCGTGTGCGCAAGTACGCGACGGCCGTCTGCTGGAGCAACTGTAATTATGTAGCCCACAATGTTCAAGTCAGCCAATGGCTGTGAATTTGGGTATACTATGGTGTGCTTATTTGGGCATATGGCATCATCCGTAGAAAGAAGAGGGAACGATTTCTGACTGACTGAGGATTTGTAATTATAAATTTCTAGTTGCATGATCGCGTGTCTTCAAGAGCTTCGACTATCGATCAGCAGCATTTTCTGAACTTGCTGAATAAGTGCTACGGGGCCCTTTTAACAAGTATAGCAGGAGCCCATTGCACTGACCGGTCACTATCATTCATTCAGGAATTCTTGTCAAGATCGCTTTCTTTTAAACTTTACATTAGTGACATAGGAGTTTAGCAGTGTAGATAAGTTAAACAAAACTTTGAAATAGACATTATTAATACCTTTACTTTTTTCTGTTATGGCAAATATGTCTTGGGCATGTTTACGCAACTGTCATTTGAGAACGTTAGAACTCCCAGTTTCTCCTGTTTATTAAGTTTTTATGGTAAGTGTATGCCAGACCTTTCTTTTATTTTTTGCATGAAATAAATCAAGTTCTGTTCTGTCGAACATATGAGTTATCCTTTGTGGTACAGGAAATTATAACTCAGACCGTTGCCTTAATCCCTAGCCCAGGTCCCGGCTTCTCTGGTGATGATCACTGGTGAAGTGTCTGTCACTTCATGTCTGTGCAGCCTTTGGAGTGCTGAAGAACTGCAAGACCATTTTCCCCTGCCATCAGGGGTGAGGACAGCACATTTATCAAAAGGAGCTTGTGATGAGAGCATTGATGGATTGCTGAGGAATTGCAAAGGCTTTGTTAATCTAAGGGAATTCGCTCAGCATTGGTTCTAAAGATTGATGAAAACTGCCTAGCTTGGCACAAACATTACAAAAAAAGAAGTTTCTATATCACGAATCGATACCCTTTCCACCATTCTTTTTCTTTAACTTTATCTAGTGTCTCTTTTACTTTTGCAATCATGTCCTGACACTTAAGCATATTCGCTGTACTTACTTAGATTAAGGCAAATGCAAGTCATCGATATGCAAGACATATATGCCTCGAAATCTTGAGTCGACTCTTTGTTCACTTTGATGAATGCATGTCTTATTTCAAAAGCTGAAGAAAGAATAAACAATGAAACCACTAATTTGGCACCATGACCCGTTCTATGTTTGCTGAGTACCTGTTTCTTGCCTCTTTGATTTGAAACAAATTATGTTCAAACTGGGTCATTTTACACAGGCAGCTGCTCTCTAGGCCATAAGTTGTTAATAATAGTATGCAGTGTTTTACATCGCAAAAGCACAAGCTGTTATAGCCTAGTCCCAGAAATTAAACTACGCATTTGAATAAATGTCTTTGTGAACAGTATGTTTGACCAGTTGCAGAAAATTTCAATAGCTGATACATCAGTTATGTTGCCAGCTGTGTGTTTCAACAGCTGCGAGCTAGACTGGGGAGGGGGGGTGGTTTGCAATATGTGTACAACCTTTACTTGTGGCAAATTAATGACGAGAGGTGCCATAGCACTATGTGCTCGTTAACTTGAGTTGATGCTGTAATTTATTTACATGACTACATTGTGGAACTCTACATTTGGAAGTGTGTGTGGAACCTGCAAGTAACGTGCAGTAAAATCTCATTAGAAGAGACACTGATACAAAACTCTCGTTGACACATTTGAACAGGGCCGGGTCGTTTTCCCGATGTTAGTCATGTTAACATCATCATACAACGCAGAGGCTTGATGCTGCTGGATACCTGCAAGAAGTAATTGCATATAGTGGTGGCACAAGTCTTACATTGCAAGATAAAGTAGGAAGTGTCGGTAGGCCAGAGCCAAGACAAAGTACAGGGAGAACTATGCAAAGTCGAAACACACTCAGTGAGTAATGGCTATTTGTAGGGTGTCCTACAGTAAATTTTTCACTTTCTTAGGACGGACACAGCCGGATGTCATTCCTTGCATGGTCGCTTTGTCCGTGGCTATCCCTTTTCATTCCTTCCAGGATTGGAAAGTGAAGTGCTCTGTTTGTAGTAGTTGGGAGGGAAGCTAATAATATCTGCTGTCACACTCATACACATACAAAAAAAAAATGAAGAAGTTCTTAAGCCATCCTGAGCAATTTAGAGTAATTGTGTTTAAAGTTGTAAACAAACTTTGTTACTCATGTATAATAAAATTGTCATGTCTGATTACTTAGAGTTTTTATAATTTTTGTTTGCAAGAGGCCTTGGTTACAAGCATAAGTTAGCAAACTCACTCATCAGTTGATGCACTCAGACTCAAGAGTCATCAGTCGGACTTTGAGTCTGGCTGGGAAAATTTTCATGAGTCTGAATGAGTCCATCAGGAACAACATTTTCGTGACTTTGAATCCTTGTGAGTGTGGTTGAGGAAAACTTTGGTGAATATGAGTCCGAGTGAGTCCCAAGGGCAAGATATATTTCACGAGTGAGTCTGAGTAAGCTCCACATTTTTTGCCGACTTTTGGTTACAAGAGACGTGTTTCCTAGGTCCCTGGAGTGTCCCTTAAAACAAGGCTTGTATCAGCGATGTCCCATGAATGTTTTGCATCCGGTTGGTGAGTGTGAGGCTTTGTAGTTCACAAGAATGTCTATAATAGTGTTGTGCATGCAAAAATTCTAAATGAGCAGAACATGACACTGTGCCTTTTACCAAACGCAGTTGCTTTGTTTCATTTTTTTGTAATATGTAGCTTTATGCTTACTCAAATCACATGTAGAATTCATAACACTGTCATAAATTAATGCAGTTACTGTCATGAAATGTATCAGTAGCACTGACACTCACCATCAGGTTGTTTTCAGTGTTACCGCTGCAGACTACAGTGGTTTTATTCTTGGCACAAGCATTATGCCTGTTGGTGGGAGCGAAAGCAAGTTCTGATGGCATCTAGTTAGCTATAGCTGAGGCATTCTTCAGACTTGAGGCCTGTCATGTGTTGGATGTGATGTACCTTGGTGCTTTGAGATGTTAAACAAAGACGCATAAGATGTTCAGAATAAATATGGAAATTACGATAATTGATAATCTTGCACGATGATAATTTTGAACTAAACTGTGTACATATTTAATGCTCATGAAATGCTTCCTTTATGTTGTGAGTGTTACAGTTGCTGTGAGCTGCAGTAGTAGTAACATGCAGTAGATACAAGTGCTGGTCTAGAATTGTTTTGCGCGATTAACAATGCTGAGGCTTTTACTTCCATTTCTCTCTCCCTCTGTTGTCCTCCACATAATAGCTTGCATGTTCATATACTGCAGTGCTGCTGTTTAGTTGCTCAGGTCATCTTTTATAATACATTCATTAATTTACTTCCTTTTTATTTTGAACATTACATTGTCCTCACCATATATCATAAAACTTCTTTAGTCATAGAAGCACCCTAATGATTCTTCTCTGAGCAAATACATTTTAATTTTTTTTTTGTTTCATATGTTGGCCTTCGGGCTTTGTATCAATGCCATGAGTTGCTGTACTTCAGTAGAAGAGACAAGCAATGTTCGGTGTGCATATCTGCAAAAATGTTTGACTACAATCATGCCCAAAGAAATTTGCATATTGAAAACAATAGGAGTGATCCTGACTAGAAAAGGCCATAGAGAACTTACTAAGATTTTCTTATTAGCTCCCTATGTTGGAAATCGGCTTTTATCA